AAAAGTGTAATTGTAGAACCGGCCCTTAATTAGAATAGAATGAGAGATACAATTAATCCCCCCCCCCCTCTCAGGCCCCATCGCTCACTAATCTCGAAAAAGAGTGGCACGGGAAAGTTATAGTTTGTACAAACCAATTTATTTCGATGATACCTTTCATTAGAATACCATGAAGGGTCGAACATGCCCCCCCCCCCCCATTTCCTAAAGTTTAACTTGGCACCACTAAAGGCATGCGTATGCAAAATCTGAGAAACATTGGTTGTCGTATGTAAAAGTTATGCACGTTATACATTCAAAAACAGCATCTCAGGAAATACTCGTGGGGGGGCGGGCTCTCTTTTAGACAGCGAAATTTGATGGCACACCTTCAAGGTGTAGGCTACCAACTGCAAAAAATTCCAGGACTCTAGGACCATTCCCTTAGAAGTAGTTCAAAACTGAAGAAGTGGGTCCGGACGGACGGACGCACAAAACGCAAACAATAGCACATTTTTTTTAATTCTTAAAAAATGCGCTAAAAATACGAGAAATCCACGGTAACGAAAATTAGCAGAAAGGCGTGAAAGGTATCGTCGGAAAGGTTTAGGTTAGGTTACGCTCAAGGTCAGGCTTAGGGTAAGTTATGTTAGGTTCAAGGTAAGGTTTGGCTTAAGTTAGGTTCAAGGTTAGGTTTAAAATAGGTTGGGTTGGACTAACGCGTTTAGGACGATGTTGCGGTCTCGATCTATCCTAACAGCGCTCTCGACCTAACCTTAACCGCTGTCTCGCTCTCTATCACGTCCTCTTTACATCTTTTTAGGTTCTTTTCCCACTTCCTTCGAGTTTTCGCAACTCTGGTAATCCTGTGCCCCGACTCCCTCAAGTTGTCATAGCGCTTTCAAGCATTTCTCGTGCTTACTGCTCGTGCATTACATTTTTCTATCGTTAACTAATGCATATACCTCCTAGTGTCGCATTTTCCACCACAACCATACCTGCCTTACAGTTCTTCGGTAAAACAACATCAAACGTAACATCGGGGGGTCGGAAAGGGAGGGGGGTATGGAATACCCCCAGTAAAAAGAAAATTCAATGACCTTTTCTCTACATTCATCATTATCACCATGAGATTATTGGTATAAATAAACCCTTCGTATACTGGGGGGTATTCCATACCCGCCATACCATCCAGTATTCCATCCACAGCCATCTCTCAAAGTTTTCGGTACAGCAACATTAAACGTAACACCGAAGGGTCAGGGGAGTATGGAATACTCCACAGTAAACAGAAAATTCAATAACCCTTAGAGGTTCCACCCTGTATATACAACTAACGACGATACATACATTTTTGAGAGTTGGCAACAATGCAATTTCTAGGTGGGAAAAAGCTGCCTGCGCCATCTAGAAAGCACGAACGGGGGTTACGTTTGGCATCTTGTTTTGAACGGCGGTCGTGTACGCGGCGCTTCATAAATGTCTGTTGTTATTTTGTGCTATTTAATGCAGGTAGTAATCTTTGCATTTCTTTATATCGTATTTGTGTTTTGTATGCCACATTTTATATTTTTTGTGTTTGAATCTTTGTTTTTGAAATTTACTTGGTTTAACCGCAATGCATAATCACATAATATGTGATACCATTATGCTATTGTTTGTAATTGTTTACGTTTTTTGGTGTAATGCTTGCTTAATTTATGTTTATTGATGTTAATTACTTGGTCTTGTCCCCGAAGTAACTTTCATATAAGTTTTGATCATTTTATTTTAATATGTGGAAATTACCGATTCGTTTGATGTATGTACTGACTTGTTGTTTGCTCCTAACATTTTTCTCCGTGAATGAAGCAGTCACGGGGGTGGTAAAAACTGTAGTCAAAATTGAGCTACGACACCTGATTCCGTGATTGTCTTCGACATTCAACTGTAGGCTCGAAACCCGGAAACCAGAGGCGGGTTACCTATCCTGCAAAAGCGGGATTACGCTAATCAAAGCTCTTCAGTTTAGAATCTATGTGCGCTAAATGAGATACGATTCGTAATTTCCACATGTCTTGTTTTTAGTCAAATTTGCCTACAAGGCCATGTACTTTTCCATCTTGCTTTTAACAAAAGGACATTATTGCACCAAAGATGAGTCCCATCCTGGGTATTTCACCCTTTCCTAGAATCTTGGTACCTGCTCACCTGACCCATAATTCCTAAAACTTGTTTTTAACCTATAGGTAGGTTACCTCTTGAAGTTTAACTGCTACTTTTTGTGATGGTATAATTTCATGTTACGCATTCACATCATTACAAACAATTAATTTTACAACACAATTTGATATTAATTTGACGGCTGGTTTTTTTTATTGGTAAGTTCCTTTTTTCCCAGCCTATTTATATTTACTACCAGCTACCATTTTCAAAGTTTATTTTTGCAATGTAATTTATTTCGACTTAAATTTCCGAGCTTTTACAATCATAATAATTACGATCATTATTAAACAAACTTGTCACAATTTCAGTGTTTTATTTTACGTTCCTTCCCTACTGTGCTTCAGGTCAAAGTGTTGTCTACAGCTAACGCAAGGGGGCCCTGCCTTAGATGTTTGATCACGTGCCACTTTTCAAATTTAAGCAGGATCTTGTTTAGCTTTGAAGGAAATAGTCATTCGGGTGGCCATTTTTAGCGCATTTCCACAAAAATAAAAAAAAATGCGCTATTGTGGCCACTTTGTCCGTCCGTCCGTCCGTCCGTCCGTCCGCTAACTTTGCGACGCTACTAGTTTTTTATCTTAAGAGCTATTGTTCTACTTTTTTCGCTATTTGGTTCGTTATGGTGTCGAGTCTTGCACCAAGGACGGAATTTTCTGTACCGCTTACAAAAAAAGTTATTGTAAAAAAACAAAAAACCGTTTTTTACATGTTCCATAATTTTACACTTTTGCCGTTTATTAACGATCCTAGAGATTTTGCATTGCTATCTGTCGCCTGCCGGTTGGTCTCTCCGTCTGTTCCTTTGTCTGTCTGTCCATCTATCTGTCCGTGTGAACGATAACTTTGTTTAGAAATGTTCGATCGTTTTTACATCTCCGTTAGTTATGAACTGAATTGCATGAAATTCAATATGGGCATAGCTTTAACCATATAATACGCAATGCCAAAAGTTGAATCGAATCGATTCAAAATTCACAGTGCCCTTTTCGCATCTCGACCATTTATAAACCGAATTGCAAACTTTTTTACTTATAAAAGTATTTGAATGAAATTTGATACATAGGCACTTGGAATAAAGGAAAATCAAACGCCAATTTTCAAAATTTGGTTTTGCGCATGCGCAGTGCCAACTTTTTTATTTATGGAAGAATTTAAACGAAATTTGATACATAGGCACTTGGGATAAAGGAAAATCAAACGCCAATTTCAAAATTTGGTTTTGCGCATGCGCAGTGCCAACTTTTTTATTTATGGAAGAATTTAAACGAAATTTGATACATAGGCACTTGGGATAAAGGAAAATCAAACGCCAATTTCAAAATTTGGTTTTGCGCATGCGCAGTGCCAACTTTTTTATTTATGAAAGAATTTAAACGAAATTTGATACATAGGCACTTGGGATAAAAGAAAATCAAACGCCAATTTCAAAATTTGGTTTTGCGCATGCGCAGTGCCAACTTTTTTATTTATGGAAGAATTTAAACGAAATTTGATACATAGGCACTTGGGATAAAGGAAAATCAAACGCCAATTTCAAAATTTGGTTTTGCGCATGCGCAGTGCCAAGTTTTTTATTTATGGAAGAATTTAAACGAAATTTGATACATAGGCACTTGGGATAAAGGAAAATCAAACGCCAATTTCAAAATTTGGTTTTGCGCATGCGCAGTGCCAACTTTTTTATTTATGGAAGAATTTAAACGAAATTTGATACATAGGCACTTGGAATAAAGGAAAATCTAGCGCCAGTTTCAAAATTTTATTTTGCGCATGCGCCGTGCCAACTTTTTTATCTATGGAACTATTTAAGTGAAATTTGATACTTAGGCGCTTGGAACAAAGGAAAATCTAACATTAGTTTTAAAATTGAGGTTTGCGCATGCGCAGTTCCAACTTTCTTATTTAGAAAAGCATTGAAATGAAATTCTTCTCATAAACTGAAATTGAAGTAGCACGTCAACAATGGATTGCCCATGTGCAATGCTATCTTTCATATTTGTGGCCGGATTTCTACGATTTTAACAGAAGTTGCATCTTACAAATGGGAAATGAATGCAAGTGGAAATGCGCTTTATGTAAATCGTTTACGATTACTTTTTAACTTGTTAAACGTTTCCGGGTTGACTTTATTTCCATGTTCTTGTAGTGTGAAGTTAGTGTAAAACTTGGGGATTAAGTACACTACTACCCTTTCTCTATACCCATCATTATAACCATAAGATCATTCGTATAAATAAACCCTTCGTATACTGGGGGGTATGCCATACCCCCCAGACCCCCCGCTATTACGTTTGAAGGTGTTTTACCCAAAGCTGTATTGAGAGTGGGCAGGCAGACAGTTTTGGTGGAGAATAAAACACAGGGGGGGTCTGGGAGGATCACATTTTACACTTGTAATGCAAGAGTTTTTCGAGGGAAAATAGTGAATACCGTCTTGGGGAACAATACGCTGCTTGCGATTTTCCTGGGTGCGAATTTTTGGAGGCAAATCAACAGAGCCCGAATTTTTCCGGGGTGAATTTTTCATTCGGGTGGCTGGGCTTCAGGTACCTATGTAGACAAACGTTGCAACAAGAGAAATGCGTCTTTCAATCACTTAATTATGAAAAAGATCACTTTATTGTCGGAAATTATAGCTTTATTAGACGTACTAATTATTGATTTCTTTTTTAAAGCGATGCATATGATTGCCATGTTCACAGGTACAACATGCACATTGTCATGCGTTTAATTATTGAAATTAACATTCAATTTCTTTGAATCCAACTAAGTGCATGCTAGAAACTCGGTTAAATACTCGAGGAATTCGTCTGGATTAAAACAATCGCGAGGATGTTTCGTGGGATCTTGTATTGCTTCTTGGCGGTCCACGGTTGCGCGGGGTTGAACTCGGGGGATGTCAGTAAGCTTAGACGTAACTAAACTAAAGTGTTCAATTTTAGCTCGTGCCACCCGGAACGAAACTGTTCATGGACCAAATAGGGGTAGAATGTACAAAAAAAATTGGCATTCCTCGAGGTGCGTTAGAGTGATTTAACATAGACGAGTGCGATTGGTTTTTTTTTTCAGATTTTGTGAAGAGCTACGAGTTCTCTGATCAATCGCGTGATGCCATGGTGAGTATTTACGACGCTTCGGTTTATGCCACATTCTTATTTTAGTGTTACATGGAATGCCTGTTGCAACACATCGAATTGGTACGTGATAATTTTCTGTTATCAAAATCCCGCACGAGTCACTTGTAGATTGAATCCGACGGCCAGACCATGCATTTTGAGAAAATGAAATCGATGGTACCTCCTGAAATTGCTGACAAAGTTTTGCCAGCGGTAGATAAGTGCAAGGAGGAAATTGAAATTAGCACAGAGGCCTGCAGAACCAGTTACAATTTCTTTAACTGCATTCACGATAACGTCCCAAGGCTATTTTACATGGGCGGTAGTGCCTAAATGCAAAATAAATTACACGCATGTCCAGTTTCAGTATTCGTAATTTGAACCTTTCCCTACATGTAGGTATAGATCTTACACAGTGAATAAGCCTTAATCCTGCCAAATTGTGTTTTATTTTGCGTTCGCCGCTCCTATACCCTACTGTACTTTAGGTCATATCGTCGTTTACGACTGCCGCAATGGGGCTCTGTTTGTTATCAATTTTACTGGGAATGAATAGCCATTTTTAAACGTTGCAGTGTTCGTTACATTTCCGCATTACCATAATGCATAAAGGAAAAGTTGCAACTGGCATTGCAAATTTTACTCAGAAGATGCTGCCATCTGCTTTTAAAGGGGGCGTAACAAATCGTAAAAATAGAAAATCGTACGTTTATTAGCGTGCCGGTAAGTGATCCCCGCGATCTGAGATGGCGCTACGAAATTTTGAAAAACGTTCACTCTCACACTTTAGAGGTTCATTTAAATTTTTCTCTACGTTTTAATACATAAATACAATTTCAATCGAAATACAGTTTAACAGACACCCAACGTATTTGATATATGAAATATGACACTTTTTAGGCGCTTTCTTTCGGTGATCCAAACGCGTTTGAATTGTCAAATCACGTTCTTTCAAAGTGTGATCTTATGATCATGATTGCTAAAATGGACATTAGATGATTTGTAGGTTTAAGAATTTTTTTTTTTAACTTTTTTAAAACACAAATTCAAGCAAAAATTCTTAATAACCCTTTCCCCTAAACAAGTAAAATAATCTAGGACTTTCGATTCTTAACACGCGCGCCTCGTATACCAATGCCGAGCGAGCCGAAGGCGAGTTCGGCATAGCTAGGGCTCTCCCGTAGACCCGCCCCTCCCCGTTCGCGGCGGCAAACGACGTTTACCTACGGCCCATCACGCGCCCCGCCTTTCCCGTCCTTCATCTAAACCGAATAAAAAAACGGCGATCCTTGCGAAAACGTAGTCCTATATCAAAATACTGATTCGCTGACATTATTTTCGGCCCGATATACTTGTTTTAAAAAATTTCCGATTCTTTTGATGTATGCATTGACTTGTTTGTAACTAACCATTTTCTCCCTGAATGAAGCAGTCACGGGGGTGGTAAAAATTGTAGTCAAAATTGATCCACGACACCTAATTCCGTGATTTCTTCGACATTCAACCGTAGGCTCGAAACCCCGAAACCAGGGGCGGGTTACCTATCTTGCAGGAGCGTGATTACGCTAATCTAAGCTCTTCAGTTTAGAATCTATGTGCGATATATGAGTTACGATTCGTAATTTCCACATCTTGTTTTTAATTAAATTTGCCTACAAGGCCATGTAATTTTCCATCTTGCTTTTAACAAAAGGCCCAAAGATGAGTCACATACTGTGTATTTCACCCTTTCTTAGAATTTTGGTACCTGCTTACCTAACCCATAATTCCCAAAACTTGTTTTTAACCTCTATGTTACCTCTTGAAGTTTACCTGCTACTTTTTGTGATGTTATAATTTTATGTTACGCATTCACATCATTACAAACAATTAATTTTACAACACAATTTGATATTAATTTGACCGGCTGGTTTTTTTATTGGTAAGTTCTTTTTTTCCCAGCCTATTTCTATTTTTATTCGATGAACTACCATTTTCAAAGTTTATTTTTGCAATGTAATTTATTTCGACATAAATTTCCGAGTTTTTACAATCATAATAAGAACGATACAAACAAACTTTTCACAATTTGAGTGTTTTAATTTACGTTCCTTCCTTCCCTACTGTGGCCGTTTTTAAACGTTGCCGGGTTGACTTTATTTCCGTGTTCTCGTAGTGGGAAGTTAGCGTAGAACTAGGGGATGAAATATTACACTTTTTATACAATATGTTCAGATGTCTGCATTCAAATTTCAAACGACCAGTACCGTTGCCGTATATAGAGACACCGTTCAAACAACAAGCATCATTGGCGTATATTGAGACACCGTGTGTTTGAGGTGACTGCTTTCGGTAGTCAGTCAGGGTAGTTGAATTTGTTATTCATTTTTGTAGGTGCTACATGAAAGGTAATGTACTTAGTTGTAATGGAAATTACTTATTGTAAATTATGTCGCCTTCAGCTGTTTGTAATTCAGGGTAAAGTGATCCTCATTTGGACTGATTGGTGACTTCAATTCTTTGTGTACGAATGTGATTCTTCTTTTCTTTGTACATGTTTATATATTATTTTAGTTGTGTTTTTTTTGAACGGAATGTGAATAAAGGCCATTTATTATTATTATTATGGTCGGTGTATCTTGTTAGAACTCAGGTCTAGCCTGGTTAACTAATCGCAAGGATTAAAATCAAGTAACGATTAGTGTCTGTGTCTGGTGAAGTTATGTAGGGTCCTAAAAAAAATAAAAGAAATAAATAAATAAAATAAAAATTCACACCCTCACACTGGAAATCTAGAGATAGTATGTATTTCATACTTACCAACATAGCTATTGATGAGCACAATAGCCAACGCTATCAGGAAAGAGGAAAACAAAACAAACAAAAAAAATCATTATAATAATTCCTGTAATTTTATTAAATGGAGTTTATTGTGTAAGTGTTTAGTGTCTGTGTCTGGTGAAGTTATGTAGGGTCCTAAAAAAAATAAAAGAAATAAATAAATAAAATAAAAATTCACACCCTCACACTGGAAATCTAGAGATAGTATGTATTTCATACTTACCAACATAGCTATTGATGAGCACAATAGCCAACGCTATCAGGAAAGAGGAAAACAAAACAAACAAAAAAAATCATTATAATAATTCCTGTAATTTTATTAAATGGAGTTTATTGTGTAAGTGTTTCTTTGGCTTTGCGTTTGGGTTGAATACGAGTGGGTTGTGATAACGTGGTGTGTTTCTGTGAAGAAGGAGTTTTGTGTTTTTTAACTGTGCTAGGACGTGTAACTTTATTGGGTGGACCTGTCTCTGTGGTGCATGTTGCCTTACTTATTATTATTATTATTATTAATGTGCCTTTTTTGGGTGTAATTAACCTTTTCGCCCTTGCAGAGGTACATGCAGAAGTGATCAGATACTTAGCGGCATTTATTTCAAACTACAACTTTAGTCTAAGGTTACCGTATCCAGGACCTTCACATACATTTCGGATTGGAAGAGGTCCGGCTAATTAAAAATGCATTTTATACACTTTATGTAAGAGACTTTAGAATCCATTCCTTCACACATGGGAAAGGATTGGAGGTGTTTTTAAATCTACTTGTGATGGCTCATGCTCCAGGTTTCCCACTATATTTGTGAACAGTGATTCGGAATTTTCTTTAGCACGGTTCTTTAATCAGATGGTTTCAAGTACCCAAAAATTTTCAAAACGCAAACTAACAAACAATGCAATAAAATGTAGATCGCGCATTTTTGCCCACTTTTTAACGCTTGTGCCATTGCTGTGCGTGTTCTCCGTCCGTCCGGACCTATAGTTTTGTCGTGGTGAACTACTTTTAGGGGAATGGTTGAATTTTTAAGAAATCTTTTTTGAATATTGAACTTTTTCAGTGTTAGTTGCTATTTTTAGATTAAAATATACACGGTGTGCCATTTAAGAAAATGAGGTTTGATCCAATAACTTTTTTACTCGATGTTGTATATTAATTTTGAAAACGGCAGATTATTCATCAATAATTTTCAAGAAACAATTGTTTGTTTCCGTTTTGATTAAGAATAAATAGGGTCATTTTAAAATTGAAATTTTTTTTCATTTATCTCCGTATCTGTAAAGCGAAACTTTTGATTTTACCATTTTGGTCCAAAAAGAGCCTATACCGCCTATAAAATTGTCGAAAATGGGACACCCTATTGTACATGAACCACTATGTCAAATTTCAAAATGAAATTAAAAATGTGTTTTCATTAAAAAAAAGTTGTTGGTTGTAACTTTTTTTTGGGCAACCTTTGGATTTGGATTTGCAATTAAAAAGAAACAGATTAGTAAGTTGTTATTGTTAGTGCTATAGAATAGAATAGAACTTACACTATGGTGCACAAAGTGATATTGATAATTAAATTGTTGATAATTAAATTATTGATTATTAAATGTATAGTGGGTTGGGTTGGTAGAGCACCTCGCCCACTAAAAAATAAAGACATAAATTTGCCATTAATTTTTGAAAGGCTGATGGTGTGTGAATGCCATTACCCTGAATTGGTAGCTGGCGCTGTCTGGAGTGATGAAAGCGGTGAGCGGGCGTGATTCCCAGGGGAGCGGAACTTGCCAGACTTTATAGATCGAGGGTGGAGAACACTTTTGCCGTGCCCAGATCCCGGAGTGTCTCTCGTTGATGCTAGGCAGTACGGACCTTTCATCACGAGTAGCCGCATTCAGAAGGCGGTAGTCGGCGCAAAATCGCGCTTTACCATCCTTGTTGATATGTCTGATTTCAAATTCCAAACAAGAAGTACCGTTGGCGTATAAAGAGACACCGCTCAAACGGCAAGTACCATTGGCGTATATCGAGACACCGATGGAAATGAATGGAATGACCTTAGGAAAAAAATGCAACAGTGGGAAATGATGCATCAACTGTAAAAAAGTTGAAAAAAGGTAAACAATTCGACGGAAGCAAATATGAAATAAGAGTAAATTGGAAAAAGGGAAAAGGCGAAATAACGCAATGGTGAAACAAGGCAAAAGACGCAAAGGGAAAAGCAAGAGAGAAAGAAAATCTGCGAAAGTGAATAAAAATAAAGAAAGAAAAATAGTAAAAATGTTATATAAAAAGTTGGAAATAGCAAAAAAACACAAAGGAAAAAAATGAAAATCTAAGTAGTAAATTTGTAATTTTTGAAACGAGGTGCAATATGTACCACTCTCTTTAAAAGGCCTACGCTTGAATGGCAATTCGTAAGGGTTGATGATATTCTCAGGTTCGCGGTGTGTAAAATTTTTCGCGCTATTTATTGATTCGTCTTGTTCCTTTGTTGCGGTACGATGGGACTTACCTTTTGTACTTTTATTACTTCCCAGATGAGCATAGATAAGAAGTGGTGAAGAACAGGAAATCTCAATAAACTCAATCATTCTTAAAATTTCGTAATCAACATGTGGAGAATGCCAGTAGCGTATTTGGAGAGAGCAATAACTGTCATGAAATTTACAAAAGATGATCTCAAAACAGATACATCGAGTAAGCTCTGAAATCAAACATCTCCTCTTAATGACACAAACCTATAATCCTTAATTATGTCTAAAAATATGTATCTGGTAAAAGCTAAATACTCGCGCACTTACACGCCTTATCCTGCATTCCATTATAAAAATATCTTTACTTGTTTTTTTACTACTACCAGAACAATGATTGAAACTTGAAAGCCTTTATTCCAGAAAATACCATATCGTTAAGAACACATTTATTAAGTACTAATAATGCAAAATGATAATAAATAAAAAATACACTAACAATAAGGGTTCAAAGTATAACAGTAGAAAATAAAGTCTCTCATTGAACATCACCAACGAGGGTTTATGTTAACTGTTCTCAAATAAAGCATTATCGATAAGTCACTATTTAAGTTAAAATGCGCGAGATTGTCTTAGCTATCAAAGTATAAAATTGTATATAAAATTGTGGTACGCGGAAGAAGTCTAAAATCATTAAAAAAACGACTGCTTTAAATTAAAACACTTAACACATAAAAACATTAATAACAACCCGCCTGTAAACGACCGTAGCGAAAAAAAAACACAAAACCCGGTCTACGAGCAGGTTGCTACCAAAGAACACTACCGCCCTGATAAAAATGATCACCAGCACCCATGTAGCGCGGCAAATGAAAATTGGGGAACGCGTTCAGGACGCATCCGCGTATCATGCAGCTTCCTCTCACCATGTGAAGGTCTCGGCAGTGCGGTACTAGCATTCCTCGATTGTAACCTGACGAGAAGAGATCAAATTGTTAGACTTCGTGTAACCAAGGACCAGGAAATATTTGCAAGATGTCAGATAAGTTATGGTTTCTGATTTTAAAAAAATGAAAGCGGAAAAGCAAATTTTTATACGTCAAAACAGTTGTAACGGGAGGTCGCTTTGCAATTCAAATTTTTCGAAATTCATTTAAATGTAAAAATTGTATATGTACCGCTTCATAAGAAATGTGAGCGCAGCTAAAGATGCGTGGGCAGAGATAAGAGAGATTATTGAGGTAAACTTTATAAATAATTGTTAAGAAGCTGATTTATTAGGGATGGAAGTTTTATTTGAGACACCCTGTAGATCGCCAACTGGGTGAGCATTTGCAAGGCTAGTGGTAGCAGACTGACTAGCGGAAGGTAGGCCGTTCTGCGAAACTAGGCCTGTATTCTCCTACCCTCTAGAAGCTATATTCTCCTGGAAGGCCTGGCGTCTGGATGGACGTCCCTTGTTGGGAACCGTGGTGGGTGGGGAGCTGGGAGGACGAAATTTCACGCGTCTGATATGGACACTTACACACGAAATAAACGTAAGCATAATCGCCATTTTGAATTAAAAATCACCGGCCGGTAAGAGGATCAAGGGTTGAGTGAATAACGTTCGGAGTAGGTACCATTTTAAAAACACTCTGTATATTCGGGAGTAAAGACGCTTGCGTAAACGTAAGCATAATATAATCGGCATTTTGAATTAAAAAACACCGGCAGGTCAAAGGATCAAGGGTTGAGTAGGTAACGTTCGGAATAGGTACAATTTTTTTATACACTCTGTATATCCGGTAGTAAAAACGCTTGGGTAAACGTAAGCGTAATCACCATTTTGAATTACAACTCACCGGCCGGTAAAAGGATCAAGGTTTGAGTGAATAACGTTCGGAATAGGTACCATTCTTTTTATACACTCTGTATATTCGGGAGTAAAAGCGCTTGCGTGAACGTAAGCATAATCGCCATTTTGAATTAAAAATCATCGGCTGGTAAAAGGGTCAAGGGTTGAGTGAGTAACGCTCGGAATAGGTACCATTTTGCAGTTACGCCCCCTAGCGGCCATTTCAGAAACTTGAAAATGTTAGATTGCCACCATGCGTGATAAACTTGCCGCATTTTTGCACAGGGCTATCAAGAAAGAACCTGAGGCTACTCGTGGGCACTGCAAACTAAACAAACACATGCACCGCATGGGCTTGGTAGTTGCAGACAAGCCGCCTCCCCTTGCAGTATCCTTAAGTTCATCTCACGTGTGGGCTGGCTCGAATAACATTGAGGGGTCGGACGAATCAAGTCAGAGAGGTACTACAAATGGCTCGAATTTGAGGCGCAATCCACATACCTGTCATTGAAGATGACTTTAAACGCCTACAATAATGTAATTACATTTTTTTCCACAATCACTTTTAAACATTTGTATTTTACAAATATCCGCTCGCGTTGTCCGGATTAACAATAGACTCAAAATTTACTGGGTCCCTAAACGCCCGTGACAACATTTTTTAAAAACAAATTCTGATACTTATCTAAAATTACACCCTAACTTTCCCAAACACTACCGAAAACAAATTCAATGTTCATCAAAAACCACAGACAAAAATAGAAAAAAAAATGTCACTTACTTCTTAAGCACTTGATCTTCACGGAATGCGCTCTTCTTATTGTTGATTTTAGATGCTATAGTCTCTTAACTGTTTTTGATCATTTTCAATGCACTTGTTACTTTTAAAACGATAGGGAGACCCTAAATTTGTGACGTACAGCACACCCCACTTTTTAACTTCACAAATTCGAAACATCAAACAATGACTTCTCCTTCTACAACTAACCCGTTATTGTCCTCACTATTTTCGCAGTATTGGCCCATTTAACTTTTACCACAACTGTCCATTTTATACAAAATCTCTAAAGATATAGAAATTTTACACAAAAGAACATCTGCAAATTTTATCGAAATGTCACCGAATTAAATAAAAGCAATAATTTCGCACATCCGGCCCGTCTACTTTACTAGACAAAAACTATCCCTCCCCTTCAACCAACATTTTTTCGCTTGAAACAATTTAAATTTTCAAGTAATATAACGGCGTCGAATGAATTTTGCAAAAATTGGTCCACAAAATCTCTCATTTTACACCAAAGGTAAGTGGCCAGGTAAAAAGAGGTTGTCAAATAAACAAATGTAAAAATGTATTTTTTCAAAATAGAAATGATTCACATTATAAATATTTAAAGATCTGAAAGCACAAGAGCAAAATATCTATCATTCTAAATGCACTTAAAAGACTAAGCGGCAGAAGAAACCACTTTACAAACAAACAAATAAATAACAAAGAACAACAGGTTCGTTAACTTAATAATTCTCTAAGAGCCAATTGTCGTATTGGTCACTATCGTACGATTCAAGTCTACGCTTACCTCCACCGGTCATGGTGCAGCCGTAGTTCACGTGCTCGAGAAAGTGCGCCTTCTGCTTCCCGTGATCCTCGGCGACGCGAATACTAAGAGGTAACATCGCGTTCTCCAACTGCTTGCCGTTTAGCGCGGCGATGGCCGACTGTGCCTCTTCCGTCTTCGAAAATCTGAAACATGCACCGTCTGAAATTTGGACCACTTGGGGTGTGACGCAAGCTAAAATCTTCATCCACAACGTCTTTATTACTAATTTTCAACAGTTTTTGTAACGGAAACACCCTGTATATTTTAATTTCAAAAGGTAACATATTACATTCTCTTTTGAAAAATATAGCTATTGTAAAAAAGTTTTAAAATTAAAAAAAATAATCAATATACATTTCTTGAATTTTTGTAATGTTACATTTTTGAAAAGAGAATTTAATATGCTATCTTTTAGATTAAAAAAATATACAGGGTGTTCCATTTAAAAAATAAGATTAGGTTCAATTGAATAAAAAAATTAAAGAAAATTTTTAAATCCTTTTTTGAATGAACATTTCTTGAATTTAAAAGAATTAATATGCTACCTTTAGCTTAAAAAGACAGGGTGTTCCATTTAAAAAATAAGATAAGCTTCAAATTACTCAAAAAAGCAAAAAATTCAGATTTTTGAAAAGAGAATTTAATATGCCCTCTTTTAGATTAAAATATACAGGGTGTTCCATTAAAAAAAAGCATTTTAAAATCTTTTTTGAACCAATATAATTAAACATTTCTTGAATTTTTTGACGTTATATTTTTGAAAAAAGAATTTAATATGCTATCTTTTAGATTAAAATATAAGGGGTGTTCCATTTAAAAAATAAGATAAGGTTCAAATTACACAAAAAAAATAATTCAGATTTTTCAATTTTTAAAAAATCTTTTTTGAATCGATACAAACCCTGATACGAATATTTCTTGAATTTAACTTAACGTTATATTTTTGAAAAGAGAATTTAATATGCTATCTTTTAGATTAAAATATACGGAGTGTTCCATTTAAAAAATAAGATTAGGTTCAAGTGATTCAAAGGATGTTGAATTTTTTGAATCAATGTAAACATTTCTTGTAGTACTTGTTATATTTTTTAAAAAAGAATTTACGAAGCTATCTTTTAGATTATATTATACAGGGTGTTCCATTTAAAAAATAAGATTACGTTCAAATGATTCAAAAAAGCAAAAAATTCAGGTTTTTTTTAATTTTTTTAAATCCTTTTTTGACTGAATATAAACATTTCTTGAATTTTTTGTTCTATTTTTGAAAAGAGAATTCATATGCTACCTTTTAGATTAAAAAGACAGGGTGCTCCATTTAAAAAATAAGATAAGCTTCAAATTACTCAACTTTTTTGAATCAACAAATATTTCTTGAATGTTACTTAACGTTATATTTTTGAAAGGAGAATTTAATTGCCCTCTTTTAGATTAAAATATAAGGGGTGTTCCATTTAAAAAATAAGATTAGGTTCAAATGATTATTTTGATGCAACATACATTTATTGAATTTTTTAATGTTACATTTTTGAAAAAAGAATTTAATATACTATCTTTTAGAATAAGATATACAAGGCGTTCCATTTAAAAAATAAGATTATGTTCAAATGATTAAAAAAAGCAAACAATTCGGATTTTTGAATTTTTTAATGTTCTATTTTTGAAAAGAGAATTCATATGCTACCTTTTAGATTAAAAAGACAGGGTGTTCCATTTAAAAAATAAGATAAGCTTCAAATTACTCAAAAAAGGCAAAAAATTCAATTTTTGAATAAAATTCCTTTTTGAATCAATACAAACATTTTTTGAATTTAACTTAATGTTATATTTTTAAAAAAAGAATTTAAGATGCTATCTTTTAGATTAAAATATACAGGGTGCTCCATTGAAAAAATAAGATAACGTTCAAATGATTCAAAAAAGTAAACAATTCAAGTTTTAGAATTAAAAAAAAATCATTTTTTGAATTCATATAAAACCTTCTTGAATTGTTTAATGTTATATTTTTGAAAACAGAATTTAATATGCTATCTTTTAGATTAAAAAGACAGGGTGTTTCATTAAAAAAAATAAGATAAGCTTTTAATTATTCAAAAAAAGGCACAAAATTCAGATTTTTAAATCTTTTAGATTAAAATATACAGGGTATTCCATTTAAAAATAAGATTACGCTCAAATGATTCAAAAAAGTTAAAAATTCATATAAAAACTTTTTGAATTGTTTAATGTTATATTTTTGAAAAGAGAATTTAATATGCTATCTTTTAGATTAAAAAGACAAGGTGTTTCATTAAACAAATAAGATAAGCTTCTAATTATTCAAAAAAGGCAAAAAATTCAAAATTTTTGAATTTTTTAAAAATCTTTTTTGAATCAATACAAACATTCCTTGAATTATTTTAACGTTATATTTTTAAGAAGAGAATTTAATATACTATCTTTTACATTAAAATATACGGTGTGTTCCATTTAAAAAAAGTTTAGGTTCATTTGAATTTTTTTAAAATACTTTTTGAATCAATGTAAACATTTCTTAAATAACTTATTAGATTTTTGAAAAAAGAATTTAAGATGCCATATTTTAAATAAAAATATACAGGGCGTTCCGTTTAAAAAAATAAGATTAGGTTCAAATGATTAAAAAAGCATTTGAAAAAAATCTTTTCAATATAAACATTTCATGAATGTTTTGACGTTATATTTTTGAAAAGAGAATTGAATATGGGATCTTTTAGATTAAAATGTACGGAGTGTTCCATTAAAAAAAGATTCAAATGATCCAATGGCTGCAAAAATTCATATTTTTGAAAATTTTTGAATTTTTTTAATCAATGTAAACATTTCTTGAACTACTATTTTTGGAAAAAGAATTTGAAATGCTATCTTTTAGATTAAAATATACAGGGTGTTCCATTTAAAAAATAAGATTACGCTCAAATGATTCAAAAAAGAATTGAATTGTTTAATGTTATATTTTTGAAAAGAGAATTTAATATGCTATCTTTTAAATTAAAAAGACAGGGTGTTTCATTTAAAAAAATAAGATAAGCTTCTAATTATTCAAAAAAAGGGCAAAAAATTCAGATTTTCGAATTTTTCAAAATCTTTTTTGAATCAATACAAACATTTCTTAAATTTTTTTAACGTTATATTTTTAAAGAGAGAATTGAATATGCTATCTTTGAGATTAAAATATACGGGGTGTTCCATTTAAAAAATAAGATTAGGTTCAAATGATGCAAAAAATTCAGATTTTTGAATTTTTAAAAAATCGTTTTTGAATCAATGTGAACATTTCTTAAATTACATGTTATATTTTTGAAAAGAGGATTAAGAAAACATCTTTTAGATAAAAATATACAGGGTGTTCCATTTAAAAAATAGGATTAGGTTCAAATGATCCAAAGGCTGCAAAAAATTCAGATTTTTGGATTGTTTAAATCTCGGTTTAAATCAATGTAAACATTTCTTGAACTACTATTTTTGAAAAGACTTTAAGATGCTATCTTTTAGATTAAAATATACAGGGTGTTCCATTTAAAAAATAAGATTAGGTTCAAATGATTGTTAAAAAAGCATTTTAAAATCTTTTTTTGAAACAATACAAACATTTCTTGATTTTTTGTAAAGAAAATTTAATATGCTATCTTTTAGATTAAAAAGATGTTCAATTTAAAAAATAAGATAAGCTTCAAATTACTCAAAAAAAAGCAAAACATTCAGATTTTTGAATTTTTTTAAAATCTTTATTGAATCAATGTAAACATTTCTTAAATTACTTGTTATATTTTTGAAAAAAGGATTTAATATGCCATCTTTTAGATTAAAATATACGGGGTCTTCCATTTAAAAAATAAGATTAGGTTCAAAAGATTCAAAAGATGCATACAATTCAATTTTTTGAATCAATGGAAACATTTCTTGAATTATATGTTATATTTTTGAAAAAAGAATTTAAAATGCTATCTTGTAGATTAAAATATACAGGGTGTTCCATTGAAAAAATGAAGTTAGGTATGATTTCTTTGGCTGACCCCGGATCCTTATTTTGAATGACATGTGCTTGATGCTTACCTGCAAATTATTTAACAATCATTAACGCCTGACACCCTGTATATTTTATCTAAAAATCTTTTCAAAAATATAACATTTAAAAAATTCAAAAAAGGTTTAATTTATTTACAAAAAATCATTTGAATTTGTTTTGGATCATTTCAAATCTTTTTTAAATCACTTCATCAAAAGTCAATGACCTCATTTTTGTCGCATCTTCATTTTCGAGGCGAATGACATCATTGTTGTGGTGTCTATTTATTTTTGGCCTTCATTTTTGAGTGGGCGGGGTTTTTAGCCAAGGTTGCTCTACCAACTAAACCCACTATTCATTTACAAATATCGATGCCCAAACCCGGATTCGAACCACAGATCCTTAGTAAGATCGCAGTCGAGATTCAAATCAATTCCGCCACACGGGGCGGCAATTCTTTTCGGGTCTTAGTGTTGTTTTCAAGGTCAACGAAGCCTTTTTTTATGTTGTCATGTTTTATTTTCAAGGTTCAGTGATCTAATTTCTTTGCGATGTCATATTCCCTTCTCAAGGTCATCAGAGACCCTATTTGTCGTAACAAACTTATTACCTCTTAAGGTCATGCGAAGTCAATGGCATTTTGTCCTGTGTCGATATTCATTTCCAAGGTGATCCTAGGTCAACGACCACATTTTTGCGGTGTCACGTTCCTTTTTTAAGTTCATCAGAGGTCGATGACCACCCTATTGGTTGCAGCGTCAAATTTTACTTTCAAGGTCAATGACCCCAGTTGATAACCAAACTGATCTGATTCGCCTCTAATTAACACATGCTCAACTAGCCAAAGCCGCATTCGAATACTATGCGCTCAAAAATATAAAAATCAAAAAATTTTAATGGCGTTAGCGGGCTCCCGTTACAAAGTCAAGATCGAACTCGCTTAAATTTTATAAAATAATAGATGGCAGATGGCCAAAAACAAGGATTTTTCGAAGCATGGCAAAAATTAGCTTGGGTCACTAGATCCGAGGGCAGGGTAGCGTCCTCAATGTTTATTTTGTTTGTTCTGTTTTAAAAAGTGTTGCTTCCTCATTTAGTTCGACCCTTGTGTCTTAGCAATGCTAGAAGGGGGGCCCTTTAATTAATTTTTCTTCAATTAAGTATGTGGTTCTGTTTGAAATAATTACTTTTACTTGAATATTTACTGCTTATACCTGTACTTTTCTTGTTAAATTTATGGTAGCCGATGCTTGAGTACGGCCCTGCCCTTTTCATATTTTTAATGTACATGCCAAAGATCAATTTACGTACATTTTAATGTGTCCTGTACTTAATCATATCTAATATACAGGGTGTTCCATTAAAAATAATGAGGTTAGGTTCGATAACTTTTTTACATACAAAGAAACGTTCCGCTTTTAAATCAGCAATAAAAATATGCCTACGATATGCTCCCGGTGTTAACTATCCAATGGAACTTTTGCTGGAATTGCCCAGGTCACAATTAAAGTTGGATCGGCCCCTCCAGGGCCCTAATTTCATACGTTTCGCGGATCTGAAAATTAGAATCTCACCTGACGAAACCGACACCTCGCGGCATGCCCGTAATTTTATCCTTCAGTACTGTTCTCTGTATGATCTCGCCGAACTCGCCAAACAAGTTGTCCATATCCTCTTCGGTGACGTTCTTCGGCAAGTTCGTTATGTACAAGTTCGAGTACTTCATATCCTGACCGGGCGGTCGCGAGTAGGACACCTTCAAACGCTTATTCCTGCAAGAATCGCGTGAGATGGGTACGAGTAAGATAACCGCTTACCGTAGCTTGAAACCGTTTAAAATCTCGATGGCTCTCGCCGCATCCTCGGCGTTCATGTATTTGACGAAGCCGAATCCGTAACTGTAGCCGGTACGATGATCTCTCATGATGCGCACGTTCTCGAGGGGGCCGACGTTCCCAAATATACTGGTGAGCTCGCCCTCGGCCGTGTATTGCGGTATGTAGTTGACTATTAGCTTCGTTTTATCGACGCCCGCCTCGACGCTGTCGCCGCCGCCGACTTGCTCGTATTGCCTCGGCTGGGGGGTTCCGATTTCCTTGTAAAAATGCGCGTTGGTTTGCTGATGCATCTATTCCGCGAGAAAATGAAAAATGTGAGGTTATAATCAAGAACTAGGCGTTAAAATGTAGAAAATTGGAGACTCACCTCAGTTTTGATTTAAAAAAACAAATAAATCGTAAACAAATTGAAATGTCATCAATCTAACTTGATTTTTTGACTTTTTTTTATTGCAAATTACATTTTTTATGGCATTCAAACCATCATTCGACGGTTGCGGAAAATAAACAAACAAAAAGTAGTGGAAAACGAAAAGCAGAGCCGTGTGTTAGACACAGATAGATAATGGGGCAAGTGTGCGTGTTTCTAAACATAGGCCTATTTACCTCACCAAGCGGAATTTGTAAATACACTTACTGGCGAAGGTAGCATTCTTGTCTTATCCTTGTCGATTTGCATTGCAACCAATTAGGTACTTGATTTATGATTAGTAAATTAGAACAATAAATAACAAAAAAGCTTTAAAAGCAGCGGACCCCCGCAACAACACCAGCGCACTGCTACAGACAGGGCTCAGGGCCCAGGGGCAACTTCAAGAAGCTACGGAAGCATCACCGCCTAGGATGCGAGGCAACCTATGGCCCTATGGCCAGGTACTTGCTCCAGCGTGCTGCACTGGAGTCTGATTCTAGTAACGCCACCTAATTTAGGATAGATAGCTAGTGTCTACATTACATCTACATACCTACATGAATATGTATATGAACGAGAATCTTGTACAAATAAACCTGGCAACACTGTAGGGCGCCTCACTGTAAAGTAGGACATTGCCCTCATTCGAAAACCCTGGGTTGTTAAATCAAGGGTTTCTGGTCTTGAGGGTACAAAATGAACCTCTTTTTCTTTGACACATGGCCGCAAGAGGCGAAAAAACGCGAAAAAAACACTTTTTGGAACCTGAGTGGGAAGTTATTGGACCTACTGGGCCGTTAGTTTCGGAATCCGTCGCCGTTAGAGGTGGACACTTTTCGGATTTTATCCGTTTCGACTCCCCACCCCTGAAAGTAGGGGGAGCGTACAAAGTGCGTTCATTAGGCCGTTTATAGGTAAAGTCGCTAATATACAAATTCGCAGCGGACGTAGGAGGGGAGATACGAACAAATTTTACGTTGCGCGCGGTTGGCCCGTTTGGTGGCGCGCGACGCAAAGCGGAGCGCGTGGGCATTTTTCGAGAAAAAGTGCGCTTTTTGGTGGCAACACGGATTTTACCACGGGAAATCGCGTTTCCGGAAGGTGGGGGTGGAGAATGGTGCGCGGGACGTCAAAACCCTTCCAGCGCGCCATGGCCTCGTAGTTCGAAGGCGCTTCCGAGGTGCCGGGTCGGAGGTCGATCGTGGGGGGGTGGCGGAAGCGGGAGAGGGACGAGGAATCGAGAGTGACGTATTTCATCTCGAGTACACGTGGAAACACCGTAAAAACATTTATGGGGGCAGGGGGGGGGCGAGGGGGAGGGGTCGAAAAAAGAAAAACGCGTTTTGGATAAGCGAATGTATTTCCAACGGGTCGGGTGTTAGTATTTCTGCTTTATGCATCAGTGTCTCTTCTCTGCTTTTGTACCGATTGTTTTTACTGCCCATTCTCCTTCATTTACCTGTTCGGTCTTTTTCGTCTTCCATTTCTCCTTTGTGTTACTTCCCGATAACCCGTTCTGTCGTTTTTCGTCTTCTACCTTTTCTGCTTTTTTTTGCCTTTCCCATCGTTTTTATTTTTTCAGTCATTATGCCATTTGCTGCTGTCTCTTCAAATTAATTTTATCTCTCATTGTATTCTAATTAAAGGTCTCAACGAATGTAACCGTTTTTTACCAACTACTGCCCTTCTTTCCGTCCTCTTATCAAAGTACGGGGTGGCGCGGAGGGGGGGGGGTGGAATAAGTTTTATCCTTCATGGTACCCTAATGAAAGGTCTCAACGAAAGGTAGGTACCGTTTTTTACCAACTATTGCCCTTCTTTCTGTCCTCTTATCAAAGTACGGGGAAGAGGGACAGGGGCAGGGGGGAGTGGAACTAGTTTTAACCTTCATGGTACTCTAATGAAAGGCCTCAACGAAAGGAATTAATTTCTACCAACCATATCCCACCTTCACGACCTCTTATCGTGCAAGGAATATATCCATTGGTGATGTCAAAACAAAAGCTATTTCTGTTAAAAAAATGCGCTTTATCTGCACAAGAGTTGTGCACAATTTATACTGGTTTACCTTGTTTGCCTTTTCGCCTTTTTTGCACTTCCTATAGTTTCAGTTTTGCCCCTTTCGTCCCTTGTACGTTTTCAGTGTCTTTTGCAATTTTTTCGTTTTCTGCATTCGCTGTTCGCTCGCACAATTCTGTCTCTCTTGGATTTGTTGCTTTTTCCTCCACTTCTGTCTTTTTCCTATCTTCCTCTTTTGCATTTTCCGTCCTTTCTGCTTCTCCTTTTGTCGCATTTTGTACTTTTTTTTTACATTTTCCTGTTTTTCATCTGTTTTATCGTTTTATACTTTTTAGCTTCATTTATTTTTCCGGCCACTTTTACATTTTCTAAATTATCGTCATTGACTTCTCTAATATTTTCTGTTCCTTCCGATCTATTGATTTTTTGCATTTCTTTTTCCTTTTTTTGGTCATTTGGTTCTTCTTTGTCTTCTTAGAACCATACCTCTATCTATATTCTTTATCTTGTCCATTTTTGTTGCATTTTCTGCCTCTACTGCCTTCTCAGCATCTTTCTCATCTTCTATTTTTCTGCTTTCTTTGTGTTTTCTGTGGCTCTTATTTTTTGTCATTACGGAATTTGCTGTCTCTTCAATCTTTGCTTTTTCTTTAGCTTTCGCTTTTTTTATTTTTTCTTTCTCGCTCTGCTACGTCTGCTTTCTGCTTTTACTGACTCTCTTGGATTAACTGCTTTCCTTCTTTGTCTACTTTTTCCTCTTTTTTGCCTCTGGATTTTCGAACTTTTCTTCCGCTTACTGTACCTACCAATTTTGCTTCTTTTGCGTTTACAACGTCTTCTGCCTTTCAGGCCGTTATCCTGCCTTTCTTTTCTCATTTCGCTTGTTTGCATTTTTTACCGTTTTACTTCTGCATTTCCTGTAGTTTCAGTTTCTTTCCTCTTTTGTCCCTTTTTTGCCATTTTGTCATTATCTGCATTCTCTGTTCGCTCTCATCTTTGCGTCTCTTCTGAATTTGTTGCTTTTTCCTCCACTTATGTCTTTTTTCCTATCTTCCTCTTTGGAAAGGTATGTCCTTTCTACCATTCCTCTTTTTTTTTGAATTTTGTGATTTTTTACATTTTCCCGTTTTTAATTTTTTTGTATTTTTTTTTACTTTATTTGACTCATTTGTTTTCCTGCCATTTTTTGCCTCTTTGTTAACGCCTATTACAAATGCCTACATTTTCTAACTCGTCCTCATTTACTTCACTCATATTTTCTGACCCTTTCTGACTTTTCATCTCTTTTTCTTTTTTGGTCATTTGGGTCTTCTTCGTCTACTGTTTAAACCATACATATCTACATTCTTTATCTTTTCCATTTTTGTTAGATACATTTTCTGCCTTTTTTACGTTTGTTGCTTTCTGTATATGTTCTGTTTTCAGCCTCTTCTCACCTTCCTACCTGTTCTGCTTGTTTTGTCCATTCTTCACTTCATTATGGGCTTCTCTTCGTTATTTGCCCTTTTCGCTTTTCAGCATTCTCTTCCCTCTCTGCTTTTTTCTTTCTTGCTTTTTTACTCTCCTGGCCTGTCTAATTTTTCGTTATTTTTGTCTTTTCCTGCCTTTTTCGCATTTTTCGTTTGTTTTAACTTTTTTAGCGCATTTTTTAACAATTAAAAAAATGTGCTATTGTTTGCGTTTTGTCGTCTGTCCGTCCGTCCGGACCCACTTCTGCGGTTTTGAACTACTTTAAGGGAATGGTCCTAGTAGAGTCCTGGACTTTTTCGCAATATGTAGCTTATACATTGAAGGTGTGCCAGAGGGCCATCAAATTTCGCTGTCTCAAGAAGCATCCCCCCATGAATTAGTAGGTGGCCGCGGGGCGGAGGGAGGAGGTAGAAATTAATTTTATCTTTTTTATGGAATTCCAATTTAAGGTCTCAACAAACGATTTTTTTAGCTACTATCCCCCTATTTTCTGGCTCCTTATGAAAAGGGGTTGGGGGGGGGGGGGGGTTGAAACTGGGTTTATCCTTCATGGTACTCTAATGAAAGGTGTCAATGAAAGAAATTAATTTCTACCAACCATAGTCCTCTTCCTCGGGCTCCTCATCGTGCTTGGATATAAATAATTCCTTATATCTCAAGAACAGATTGTCGGAGGATGGTACAAAGGGCGATTGGGACGTCTCGACCACGATTTTCTCGGAGGAAAGTATCCATCAAGGCAAAATGAATTATCTATTGGTGAAGTCTCCTTATAATCATCTAACAAGCCCATAAACATAGCATGCTATTACCTTATTAACGCAACCATTCACTAAATTGTTTTGGTTTTCAAAAATGCACTTTATCTGCACAAGGGTTGTGCGCAATTTATACTTGTTTCTTTTCGGTTTGGAACTTTCGTCACCATTCGTTTCTTCTTGCTTCTCTGCCTCTCCTGCCTTCTCAGCATCTTTCTCATCTCATATTATCTTTTTCTCTTCTTTCGCATTTTCCCATTTTTACTTTTTGTACCTTTGTTTCCATTTTTCGAGTTTTTTTTAATTGAACATCCCTCCCCTAGGCGTTCTTTGCTTGCTGCTTCGATATCGAATGGTTTGGTCCCACCCCCAGAACTTGGATATGGTGGGAATGCACGGACCGGTGAACTTCTGTGCGTAGTTTCTCATTGGCTCGATTTGGAATTGCACGGACCGGTTACAGAATCCGCGGGTTTTTACGGATGTACAAGAATGGGTTGCGATAACCGTATTGTTTCGTGTGAAAAAGAAGCAGAATACAGGCCTGATTTGTGAGTGAATAAGAGTCCGTGAATTTTGAACAACGCTCTATTTTATATAAATTGAAATCAATCGTCTTTGCCAGAGCAAGCGTATTTTTCACTTAAATCTGTACCCTCAATGCTCCTTTTAATCCATTCATCAAACTCGGCTATCATCTGCGGACTCATTTCCCACCTACACTGCCCAATCTTTCCGCATCTCATAAAAAGAGCTGGATTCACTGCAATACTCTTCCTGGCGCTCAACGTCTCCGCACGGTTGACCGCACCATTATCTTTCATGCTGTTGAAACTGAGATGCCTACACAGCTTCTCCATTTGCTCGTGCGTGAGTGGCTCCATTTCCAAAAACTCGCACGTTCTCCGAATCACAGCCCGAAGATCCTTTATCATCTCTTCGTATTTTAAGATTAGAACGTTCGGCGAGTGCCTTAAATTCCAATATCCCAACACGCTCTTCCAGTACGGCCCGTAAAATACTGAAACAAAACCCGCGTACAGATCAGTCTGGAGAACGCAAATCTTACTCGGGCCTCCCATGAATACTTTCGCGAGCTCTTCTTTGCTCGCGCGCCACCCTAGTGCAGCGCGACTGTAGTGATAGTACGAAATGAAGACATCTTTTGGATTTCTCATGATATAAATTATCTAGTGCAAACGGACACTAGGGGTACAACTGCATTGGATCTACCTACCTTAGGAATGTCACCACCTTCTCTAGTTCGTCTCGGTAGCAAAGAGAACGGCAAATGGGTTTTAATCACTCTTGGATCGGCAAGACGATTTAATTTCTTAACTGAGTCGTGACGATTTTGTTGACTATGGTCGCCAATTCCGGGCAATCTAAAACGAATGTGCGATGAAGGATGACGAATTCTGACTTACTCCAGGTTCGCAGAACGTTTGTAGATCTCAACTTTCGCTCCATCGTAATCAAGATCGTTCTTCAGCAGCCACACCATCTCTTGCAACCAAGTTGTACCTTATGCAAATGATCGACGTCAGTAAAGGCCAAATTAGGGTGGACACGGTCGTCACCTGATTTAGGGAAGGAAGCCACAATTACGTCATCGTTTCGAATTTGGAAATTGTCGACGGTATCCGCTCCACTTTCATAGTAGCTCGGCAAACACGTACCGTCCGGTCCAAATAGCAGGTATTCATCAACTACGGGACTTGTTAGTTTCCTCTCGACCAATTCGCTCAACTCTTCGTTTTCGATTTTTCTTTTCCAGGAGAACATTATCGCTCATTTGTGAAGCGTTCCGTAGAGAATTGCACACGTTAGGGCAAGGTTATCTGCCTTTATCGCATTTGTCGTTTTACTAGTACGCATGAAAATCTGTTTTGGGGAAAGTCCAACAATTTCGGGTTTTTTTCGGTCACCAAAAGTTTACCTTCCAGGTTAAAGCCGTAAAGTTTCATTACCTCCAATAAAAAATGAAATCTTTTTGCCGCAATTATTTTAAGCTGTGGAGGTAAACTTGAATTTGTGCGGGAGATTTGAATTTCCGGATGTCCGCCATTTTGTAGCGGCAAGTTTGAATTTGTGTATGATTTGTGTACATAAGTGACGCCACCTAGTGGATTGATCACTAACACTAACCTAATACGGTACGGTTGCAAAAATAAGTTTAACGGCAAAACTTGAAAGATTCCACCCTGTATATACAACTTGCGACGATACATACATTTTTGAGAGTTAGCAACCATGCAATTTCTAGGTGGGGAAAAAGCTGCTTGCGCCATATAAAAAGCACGAACGGGGGTTACGTTTAGCTAGCATCTTGTCTTGAATGGCGGCCGTGAACGCGTCGCTCCATAAATGTTTGTTGTTATTTTGTGTTATTTAATGCAGGTAGTAATTTTTGCATTTATTTATATCGTATTTGTGTTTTATATGCCGCCTTTTATATTTTTTGTGTGTTTCAATCTTTGTTTTTGAAATTTACTTGGTTTAACCGCAATGCAGCATCAGATATGTGATACCGTTATGCTATTGTTTGCAATTGTTTACGTTTTTGGTGTGATGCTTGCTTAATTTATGTTTATTGATGTTGATTACTTGGTCTTGTGCCTGAGATAACATTCATGTAAGTTTTGATAATTTTATTTTAAAATGTGGAAATTACCGGTTCGTTTGATGTATGTACTGACTTGTTGTCTGTTACTAACATTTTTCTCCGTGAATGAAGCAGTCACGGGGGTAGTAAAAACTGTAGTCAAAATTAAGTTACGACACCCAATTCCGTGATTGTCTTCGATATTCAACTGTAGGTTCGAAACCCCGAAACCAGGGGCGGGTTACCTATCTTGCCGGAGCGGGATTACGCTAATCAAAGTTCTTCAGTTTAGAATCTAATCTATGTGTGATAAATGAGTGGCGATTTAGTAATTTCCACATATCTTGATTTTAGTTAAATTTGCCTGCAAGGCTATTTAATTTTCCAACTTGCTTTTAACAAAAGGATTTTATTGCACCAAAGATGAGTCACATCCTGAATATTTCACCCTTTCTTAGAATTTTGGTACCTGCTTACCTGGTCCATTATTCCCAAAATTTGTTTTTAACCTATATGTTACCACTTGAAGTTTACTTGCTACTTTTTGTGATGTTATGATTTTATGTTACGCATTCAGATCATTACAAACAATTAATTTTACAACACAATTTGATATTAATTTGACGGCTGGGTTTTTTATTGGTAAGTTCTTTTTTCCCAGCCTATTTCTATTTTTATTCGGTGAACTACCATTTTCAAAGTTTATTTTTGCAATGTAATTTATTTCGACTTAAATTTCCGAGCTTTTACAATCAATAATAATTGCGATCGTTATTACCTAAACAAACTTTTCACAATTTGAGTGTTTTATTTTAGGTTCCTTCCCTACTGTGCTTCAGGTCAAAGCGTTGTCTACAACTAACGTAAGGGGGTCCTGCCTTAGATGTTTGATCACGTGCCACTTTTCAAATTTAAGCAGGATCTTGTTTAGCTTTGGAGGGAATAGTCATTCGGGTGGCCATTTTTAAACGTTGCCGAATTGACTTTATTTCCGTGTTCTTGTAGTGTGAAGTTAGCGTAGGACATGGGGGTTAAGTACACTACAAACTCAAAAATTTCGGTACAAAACGTAGCTTGCGAAGATGCAAAAGTAAAAAGATGATTTACATACAGTACGGTTTACGGCAAGATCAAAATTTAATACAGCACTTACAAATGTAAATAGTGTAATGATCCTAGGGGTCTATCAAGCCGACACTGAAAACTTTGACTCACCCTATACTTACGTTGGCAGGTCTGGGAAAAACTACGAGCAGAGCCACCTACCTTTCAAGTCGAAACGATGGATGTTTCGCGGCACTTTTCAATTTGGATGGCAGTCGGCTCGATATGGGTGGTATGAATAAACTCCTACGTTGTGTAATCGGTTCTTGTACGTGTTGGGACGTGAGACATAATCGGGAAGGGAATTAAATAAAAGACAAAACTTTTGTGCGTAAGAAATGACAAGAACAAATAAATATATTACGCACACAACAAGACCATACCAGAGAAACCTTCTACGGGACAAAAACCCCGGCATAGGCCACACAAATACATGAAATAAATCACCCACAGCAACGAAATGCAAGAGAAAGTACGCATAAATAAAACATCTCAAATTGTATGATAAATCTCAGATAATCGAATCAAATGCAATTAAACAAATTCATAAAAACAAAACACACAAGACGTCATAAATGCAGTAGAAAACATGATAAATTAATATACATGTACAATCAATTGAGATAACACAACTTGTAAAATAATAAATTGCATGTACATAGGAAACATCAAAATGATGTGGCTCTACTTCCAGCCTTCATTAACATAATTTTGTTTAACACGAAAAGTACATGTGAGAATGCCAATAGCAAGTATTCATGTGGAAGTCGATCATCGCTCAAGCAAAACATATCTTAAATAGAATAAATGTTAATGAGAAGACTCCTGAAACTGGAATGCCCATCTTGTACGCTGATACTTTCGAAACGTTCGAATAAATGAAAACTGCTTTTAATTAATCACGCCTTTTCCCGACATCGGAAAAATATAGGACCGATGTCAAACTTCACGTTTTTTAAGAGTCCAAAAGACGCTGGAGTGTGGCTGGCGCGGAATGTAACTCAAAAATCCTGGGCCGGCTATGGTGAAAGCGGTTAGCGGTATTTGCGAATTTCAGGTCGATGCTGGAGATACAGCGAGCTAGACGAAGGCGATCCAGTATCCCACTTATGAACGGTAACGGATAGGCATCTTTAATAGTGACCATTCTTTTTCCGGAAATCAATACAGAAACGCATCTTGCCATCTCTCTTTCGGACCATGGCAATCGGTGACCTCCACGGACCTAGGATACGAACGAGAGCTTGCATTCGCGGATTTTGGGGGAGGGTATCGTTGCTATCGGTGTGGGATCTCGGAGTCCGATGTCATGCTTATTTAATGGTAATTCGTGTAATTCAGCTCCTTCGACGGCGGTTAGCGGTGTGATATAACGGAGCAAGGAGTGCATTGCTGAAAAACGGGAATAACCCGCGGAACTAGGAAGTTGTCAAGGAATAAATTGCAGGTTTCAGGTTGAAATGGAGGTCGGTACGAGAAAGAAAATCTGTTGTAAGGAGTTCTTCATAACTAAGACCGGGAGCATGATGGACTAAGTGAGAAATTTCGGTTTTCAGGATTTTAAAGTCACAGCGAAATTTCGATGGTTACTGCACTGTGACTTCCAATGCCCTCTGTTTAGCCTCGCCTCCAGCATACTGTAGCCTCGTCGGACTGTGCAGATTGAGTGGTTGCAGACTGAGATGTCTGATTTCACATTTCAAACGTTTGCCTTATATAGAGACACCGTTCAGACGACAAGTACCATTGGCGTATATCGAGACACCGCTGGAAATTATCTAAGTATAGGAAGGAAATGTTGTGTGGAATTAGCTTTGCCAAGGTAGCTTTTTAGCGGATCATGCAGGTCACTTTGCTTTCTGCATCCATTGAGTTAAGTTCAACTTGCTCTAATTTGTGCAATTGTCCATTAAAAGTAATGTACTTAGTTTCCACTTGTTTAATTAAACTCTTTTGGATTGATTAGCGGCTTCAATTCTTTGTGCACGAATCTGACTTTTCTGAGTGTCATTAACCTTTTCGCCCCCGCAGAGGTAGATGCCGAAGTGTAAACATCCTTAGCGGCATTCGTCTCGAAATACAACTTCAGTCTAAGATTACCGTATCCAGGACCTTCAGATACATTCCGGATTGGAGGAGGTCGGGCTAATTAACGATGCAGTTTATGTACTTTTTGGCAAAAGACTTCTTTCACAAACGGGAAGGGATTGGAGGTGCGTTTAAATTTACTTGAGCTGGCTTTTTTTTAGCTCATCAATTTTTGTATTAAGTTAACGTCAGATTCCAATTATTCAATTCAAGGGTTACTTCGAATTGTTAACCTTTGTATATTGTTGATGTAATGCAAAATGTGTTTAGCGTTTTCCACAGTTCGCTCTATAACTCTGTGAACATGAATTTTGTTTAGCGCTGTGCTTTTGTTCGACACTTTTTGATCAATTATTCAATGAAGTCTATTGAGGGTGTGCTGTTCGGGGGAATTGCGAGAAATCCAGTTCCGGCTAGGGGTATTTCCTAAACCCACTGCCCTCGGTTTTGGGTGGAAACTGGTTCGGTAAACCTAACGGCCATATCGGTACGGAGCGGCGGCAGATGACTGGTATTAAAATCGGTACGGTTTCGTGAAAAATCGCGGTATGGTTTCGGTAAGAATCGGTACGGTTCAGTTGTTCACAACTAGCTTAGCTTAGACTATGAAAGGAGGGAATCCATAATACCCAATCAAATGCAATGTTGCTGGTTGAAGCAAATTTTCGGATAGCTTGGTGGCAATTGTATATAAATTGACATATTATAAATATTTTAATATAATATTTTAAAGCAGATGTTAAATTGACATTTTAATAGTAGGCTAAGTTTTTAATAATTTTTGTTTTTTTGCGTCATTTATTTTTCCTGTCTCTTTTGCCTTTTCTAGTAATTTTCGAAATTATCGTGCTCATTTACTTCTCTCATATTTTCTTTCCCTTCCGATTTTTTGCATTTATTTTTCTTTTTTTTTTGGTCATTTGGTTCTTCTTTGTTTTCTTTTTGAACCATACCTCTATTCATATTCTTTATCTTGTCCATTTTTGTTGCATTTTCTACCTCTCCTGCCTTCTCAGCATCTTTCTCATCTTCTATTTTTCTGCTTTCTTTGTCTTTTCTGTGGCTCTTACTTTTTCAGTAATTTGGCTGTCTCTTCAATTTTTGCTGTTTCTTCAGCTTCCACTTTTTTTATTTTTTCTTTCTCGCTCTGCTACGTCTGCTTTCTGCTTTTACTGGCTCTCTTGGCTTAACTGCTTTCCTTCTTTGTCTACTTTTTCCTCTTTTCTGCCTCTGCATTTTCTGCCTTTTCGACCTTCTTCCGCTTACTGTACCAATTTTGCTTCTTTTGCGTCTACAGCGTCTTCTGCCTTTCAGGCCGTTATCCTGCCTTTCTTTTCTCATTTCGTCTCTTTGGATTTTTTGCAGTTTTACTTCTGCCTTTCCTGCAGTTTCTGTTTCTTTCCTCTTTTGTTCCTTTTTGTTTTTTTGCCATTTTTTTCATTTTCTGCGCATTCTTTGTTCGCTCTCACCTTTGCGGTTGTTCTGAACTTGTTGCCTTTTCCTCCACTTCTGTCTTCTTTTTATCTTCTTCTTTTGAAAGTTCTTTTCTTTCTACCATTTCTCTCGTTTTTAATTTTCTTTGCCTTTTTTTTACTTTTTTGCCTCATTTGTTTTTCCTGCTTTTTTGTTTCTTTGTCAATGCCTACTACATCAAATTGTTAAAAATGGAGTATTATTTAAGACAGAACAAATAAATAGAGTGATGCATAGCTTATGGTGGAAAATGCTGATAAATTGACTTTATTTTACAGCAGAAGTTAAATTTACATTTTAATAGTAGGCTAAGCGCCCCTTAACAGCAAGGGTAGATAAAGTGATAAAGGTGATTATGCATTCTAATGACATCTGTCATTCTTATTTCAAATGGGACGCTGAGCACGATATAAAATGACCTTCAAAATATATGGCAATGCTGTTTCTGTGGAAACGTCCGCGACGACAGAACATAACTTTGCTATTTTTGACGCGTAAATTAAAATCAGAATTGTCCGAAGCTTTACAATGATTTATATGACTTCTGCTGTAAAATAAATTTTTTTATTATACATGACGATAAAGAGAAACGAACCATCTCGTGAAAGTTCCCTTTATCGTCTTATATAATGATTGGTGGAAAACAGAGATAAAATTTGCCTCACTTTACGATCATAATACTTTATACCTCCTGTACTTTTCCTTCTCTATAACCACTACTTAACGGAACGGTGAACCGGGACTGTAGTTTTTAACGGCCTGAATAAACTCAGTTACGGTTCTGTAACCGGTACTGCGGACGGTATTCGGGCAGCAAGTTGTGTAACCAGTAAACAATTCCCATCTCGTACGCTGATACCTACGATACGTTCAAAAAATCTGTTTTCATTAATTACTCCTTTCCCCGACATCGGAAACATATGGGACCGACGTCAAACATCACCTTTTTTAAGAGCGCATGTAACGGATGTAATCTCGACTTAATCGGCGGTTGTTACAGTAATCCATTTATGTTATTACGGTTAATTATACTTATCTAAATGGTCGGAATGAAATCTCCAAATTGGGCAGTCCAGCCATTGCATTCCTTCTATTTCTTGGAATGTAAGGCGAAGCGGCGCAACTGACTCATTGATTTTATGTACATTTATTTACATACTACTAACAAAAACCTAAGAGGGAATTTTATTTGCAACAAAACGCTGTATTTTACGTAAATTTAAATCAATCGTCTTTGCCAAAACAAGCGTATTTTTTACTGAAGTCGGTACCCTCAATACTCCTTTCAATCCATTCGTCAAATTCGGCTATCATCTGCGAACTCATTTCCCACCGATACTGCCCCACCTTTCCGCACCTCATAAAAGGAGCTGGATTCACTGCAAAATTCTTCCGCTGACTCAACATCGTCGAATAATTGACCGCACTATTATCCTTCATGCTGTTGAAACTTAGATGCCCGCACAGCTTCTCCATCTGCTCGTGCGTGAGTGGCTCCCTTTCCAAAAACTCGCACGTTCTCCGAATCACGGCCCGAAGATCCTTTACCATCTCTTCGTACTTCAAAATTAGAACGTTCGGCGAGTGCCTTAAATTCCAATATCCCAACGCGCTCTTCCAGTACGGCCCGTACAATACTGAAACAAGAACCGCGTACAGAACGGTCGGGCGGACACAAATCTTACTCGTGCCTCCCATGAATAGTTTTGCGAGCTCTTCTTTGCTGGCGCGCCACCCTAAGGCAGCGCGGCCAAAGTGATAGTACGATATGAAGGCATCTTTTGGATTTCTCATGATATAAATTATCTAGTGCAAACGGACACTAGGGGTACCACTGCATTGGACCTACCTACCTTAGGAATCTCACTGCCGTCCCTAGTTCGCCTCGGAAGCAAAGAGTACGGCAAATGGGTTTTAATCAACCTCGGACCGGAAAGACGATTTAGCTCCTCAACTGAGTTGTCACGACTTGGTTGGTTAGGGTCGCCGATACCGGGCAATCTAAAAAGAGTACATTTAAGGAGTGACGAATTCCGACTTACTCCAGCTTCGCAAAACGTTTGTAGATCTCAACTTGCGCAGCATCGTAATCGAGATGGTTCTTCAGCAGCCACACCATCTCTTGCAACCAAGTTGTACCTTAAATGCAAATGATCGAGGCCAAATTAGGGTAGACACGGTTGTCACCTGATTTCGGGAAGGAAGCCACAATTACGTCGCCGTTTCGAATTTGGAAATTGCCGACGGCGTCCGCTCCACTTCCGTAGTAGCTCGGCAAGCACGTACTTTCCGGTCCAAATAAGAGGTACTCATCAATTACGGGGCTTGTTAGAGTCCTCTTGACTAATTCGCTCAACTCTTCGTTTTTGATTTTTCTTTCGCAAGGGAGCATTGTCGCTTGTATGTAAACCGTTCTGTAGATTTTGCTTTGAACGAAGATTTGGCTATCAGAGTACGCATAACGTTAGGTCAAGGTTTATCTGCCTTTATCGCCTTTGTCCTCTTTAATTTACTAATCACCATAACATGATAAAAATGGACCGATTTGAAGATATAAACGAATAACTGAAGAACGTATAAACATTTTGAGGTTTTTTCGGTCTATCTACGCTAATATTTTCCCATTTTCCCTTTGTAGAGACCTTCCTCCAACATTTTCTAGATATTCACAACTAAATTTTTACATACCGGTCTCGTTTAGACGTTCTTTCTGCCCTTTGAGGGTTCCTTCCTCCGATACTCCCTTCTGTGGATATTTGCAGTGAAAGTTTTGACATCACCAATAGATATATTTCTTCTAGATGTCCCAATCGCCCTTTGTGAGTACCCTCCTCCGGCGATCAATTCTTGAGATATCAGGAATTACTTATATCCGATCACAATAAGGGGCCCAGGAAGAGGGCTGTTATTGGTAGAAACTAGTTCCTTTCATTGAGACCTTTCATTAAAGTACCATGAAGGATAAAATGAGCTCCTCCCCCCCCCCCCCCTATCAACTCTCTCTCTTGATCAGGAGTCAGAAAGAAGGGATGTAGTTAGTAGAAAACCGTTCCTTTTATTGAGACCTTTCATTAGAATATCATGAAAGGTAAAAATTAATTTCTAACCCCTCCTCCCACCCCAGCCCACACACTGATCTCAAAAAGGAGTCGTGCAGGAACGTTATAGTTGGTGCAAACCAATTCATTTCGGTGAGATCTTCCATTAGAATACCATGAAGAGTAGAACGTGTGTCCACCCACAGCCCCCCCCCCCATTTTCAAAAAATGTACTAAAGGCAAAATCTGAGACCAGTTGATTATTGCATGTAAAAGTTATGCACGTTTTACTTTCAAAAGCAGCATCGCAGGAAATAATTCAGGGTGGAGGAAGGGGGGGGGGGTTGAGACAGCGAGGTTTAGTTTGATGCCCCTCTGGCACGTCTTTCTAGGTATACGTATTCTTAATTAGCTGGACCTCCTCCAATCCGGAATGTATCTTAAGGTCGTGGATCCGGTAACCAAGCGATTCTCTTTTGTTCACGCTGTTAGACCCACAGTAATGCATTCAACCGGCTCGTCCGAAATTTCGCTGTCACTTTTCATTCAGATACTGCGTTTGTTCTTGTCTTTATTACGCACACCTTCCCCGATTGTGTCTCTCATCCCGGCACTTAAAAGGAACGACTCATAGTATACACAATTTCAGTTGCCAACTGTAAGTATAGGGCGAGTCAAAATTACGGTGCCAATAACCTGTTTCGGATAAACGGCCTGTTTCGGCCGAGAAACACAACCGAATCGAATGACCTTGAACTTCGCGCATGCGCAAATCTCCAGGTCAAAACGATCAGATTCTTCTATACTGTAGTAGGTGTGTGCCTGTGTTGAAACATACGTACGCCTATGGCGAGTTGACATGCGTAGTTAAGTAGTAAGTAGTTGATGAAAAGAAGATGGAGGAAGATTATTGTGTTGTACTGTACCGTGTATTAAAAATTAAATTAAGACATTACATTTTAACATTGCGTTACTCAAAATTCTACAGCCTGGACCGCTCGCCACCTGGTGGTGACGTTAGAAATTAGGTCAAGATGAAAGTTATATGTCACGTGGCCAGTGACCTTGGAAAGTAGGCAGTAGGTCTCGGTAAAACTCAAAGAGCAAGCTGTAGTTATCATATTACATATTTGAGAGTGTCAAATTACAGTTACAAGGTCAATGACTTCAATAGATGTGGTGTTAAATTACATTATTAAGATCATTGTCATTACAAGGTCATTTTCGCCATGGTGTTAAATTGTAATCCCAGGTCAATGACTCCAATTGTGGTGTCAACTAACATATTCCATGGCATCTAAAGTCAATGATCTCAATTGTGCTGTCAACTGATCCGAGGTCATTGACACCATTTTTGTGTTGTTCAATTACAATTTCAAGGTCTTTCGTGGTCATTGAACCCATAAATTTTCAAGGTCATGCGAGGTCGTTGATCCCGGGGTTTTTGAGGTGTCAAATTAAATTTTCAACTTCATCCGACATCAGTGACCTCAATTGCGGTGTCAACTCATTTTCAATGTCATCCAAGTTCAATCGCCACTATTTTGGTTTTGAAATCCGAGGTTATTCACCCCATTTTTGTGTTGTAAAATTACAATTTCAAGGTCTTCCGTGGTCATTGACTCCATACATTTTCAAGGTCATGCTAGATCACTGTCCCAATAATTTTTGAAGGTCATTCGAGGACTGCCCAATAATTTTTCAAGGTCATCCGAGGGCATTTACCCTATTTGTTGTAGTTTCAAATTACATGTTTAAGGTCATCCGTGATTATTGACCGCATAGGAGATCCATTCAGGGGCATTCACTTTCCGCTCTCCCGTGGTACAAGTAACCTTCAAGGTATCGATTGAAGGGTAGTAGGTACACAAGACCAATCCTGGGTGAGTTCAATGTCACAAGCCACCTGGCGATGACCTTGGGAAGTAGGTCAAGGCGACGTGCCACCTGACTGCGACAGGAAATTTGGTCAAGGTGAAAGTCGCGTGCCACGTGGGCGATGGCCTTGGAAATTAGGTCAAGATGAAAGCCGCGTGCCACGTGAGCAGTGAAAGTAGACCACGGTAAAGCTCAAAGGGCAAGCTTTAGTGATCGCATTTCATTTTTTCGGGTGTCAAATTAAATTTACAATTTCAATAACCTCAATTTATGTGGTGTTAAATTACATTTTTAAGCGTACACAAGGTCATTGGTATCATGTTCGAGGTCATCCAGTCCCCATAAATTTTCAAGGTTAACCAAGTCCATTGGACCATTTTTTTGTGTCAAATTAAATTTCCAAGGTCAAGGTTTTTAACCCGAGGTCATCGATCTCTTTTGCAGAATTACTCTTCCAAAGTCATTAGAGGTCATTAACCCCATACTTTTTAAAGAGCATCCGAGGACATTGGCACTATTTTTTGTGGTGTCCCAAGCTCATTGACCCATAACATTTCCTAGGTCGCTGTCCGACATTCTCAAGATCATCCTAGGACATTAACCTATTTTTTTGTGTGTTTTCCTTTGTTGGCAACCTTACTGCCATTTTAGAAAGTCCAAAGAACACTGGCGCCCCGCTCTCCCCTGGTAGTAACCTTCATGGTATCGATCAACGGTCATTTCATTAAAGGAAACGTGAACTGACCTTTGATCGATACTTTGAAGTTTACTGCCAGGAGACAAATGGAGCGACTGTTCTTAAAATTTGACCTTAAACATGTAATTTGAAACTACAACAATTAGGGTCAATGCCTTCGGATGACCTTGAAAAATTATTGGGACAAAGACCTCGGATGACCTTAAAAAATTATTGGGCCAATGGCCACGGATGACTTAAAATTTATTGGGGCAATGACCTCAGATGACCTTGAAAACCGGGGTCAACGACCTCGCTAGACCTTAAAAATGTATGGAGCCAATGGCCGCGGAAGACCTTGAAATTGTAATTTGTCAACACAAAAATTTCAATGACTTCGGATTTTAACATCAAAATAGTGGCTATTGAAAAAAAAATCGAAAATGATATGACGTTAATGACCTGGGATGACCTAGGAAGTGTAATTTGACACCGCAAAAAAACCGGGGTCAACGACCTCGCATGACCTTCAAATTTTACGGACCCAATGACTACGGAAGTCCTTGAAATTCTATTTTGACAACACAAAAATGGGGTCAATGACCTCGGTTTTCAACACCAGAATAGTTTGCATTAAACTTGGATGTTAGGGCGCCAATGACCTAGGATGACCTTGGAAATGTAACTTGACTATACAAAAAAAAGGAGTAGATAATAACTTCGAACAACCTTGAAAATTAATGGGGTCAATGACTTCGGAAGACTTTGGAAATGTAATATGACACCACAACAAAAGGATGTCAACGACCTCACATGACCTTGAAAATTGTCAATGGGCTCGGATCATCTGGAAAATGTAATTTCACACCACAAAAAATGGTTCAATGAGTTCTGGTGGCCTTGAAAATTTATGGGGGTAATGAAGAACTTCAGTCATTGACTTTGTATTCCATTGAAATTGTAATTTGACAACTCAAAAATAGGTCATTAACTTTGGATGACATTGAAAATAAATTCCACAATTGAGGTCATTCACCTTAGATGACATTGAAAATGATACTTGACACCACATTTTGAATCATTAACCTTGGATGGCCTCGAACATGAGTCCAATGACCTCGTATGCGCCTAAAAATGTATTTTATCACTACATCAATTGTGGCAATTTGCCCACGTGGCACGCGTCTTTCGCCTAGATTTAATTTTCATTCGACTATACTTTGAACTGCTTTCCAAGGTCAACGTCCACGTGACACGCAACGTTCACGTTGACCAAATTTCCAAGGTCACAATCACGTGGCACGTCACCTAGACCTACTTGCCAAGGTCATCGCCAGGTGGCTTGCGACCTTAAACCATTGAGTTAGAAAACTAATGGAGGGAATATAATGGTAGGGGGGGTAAGAATTTTTGTAGACGGAAGTTGCCACAGATAGAGGCCACTCGCGTGGATAGGTTCCCGTGAAGGTACATTTTGGCCGACATTATTTGACATATGAAAACGCGGGTCCTGTCACTGTCAGTTTTCCACCAAATTCAAATTTTATTAAATTTGCCATTTTAAAGTACCTAATAATTTCGGATCGGTTTGTGCTCTCGTTTATAACTAACTGCCGCCATAGAGTAAATAATTATTTACTCTATGCTGCCGCATAGTGTTTTTATCACACGCAATTTTGTGAATTGAGAATGATTAGCTGCGTATCATGCAAAATTTCTCATAAAGGGAAGAAACAGGGCACTTCCTTTCATCGGTAAGACATGTCATTTATCATGTTGTAGGCGAGGTTGTAGGTACCTAGTTTATGTTTCTTAGTTTTCCAAACGAACCAGTACTTCGAGCAAAATGGTTACCTAACATTTGTAAATATATCTCAAGAACAGCTCTCGAAATTTACTTTTGTGCTCACAACGCTTCATTGACTGTGATTTCGACCAAAGGTTGCACCGGAAAATGTTCATCAAAGATCTCGTCAAATATGCAGTAAGTACTATCAAAACTTGTAATGAACCTGAGACCAACCAATCAATTGTAGCTATTGATCAACACAATGAATTTAATGGGAGTTGTCAAGTTGTAGTGGCTATAGTAAACTGGCCTTAATTATAAATGGAACACATCGATGTATATTTAGATTTGTAATCAATGATTATATTAAATCTGCATACTTTCCCATCCTTGTCTATTTTGTTTACTTTACCACGAGCATATATTTTACTCCTTCTATACGTTTTTTTTTGTTATTATTCCTATTAGTGGAAAGAAAATTATATCTCTACGCCACTGAAGTGAGACGCTAATGATAACGGAAGTGGTGTGGTCTCGGGTGTGGTACTTTAATCACAGTTAGAGGCCACGTTTGGTTCCCGTGGTCTACGTCTGGCCAAGCATTTGATTCCCTCCATTACTTTTCTAACTCAATGCCTTAAACTGACCCAAGATTGGCCTTGTGTACCTATTACCCTTCGATCGATACCTTGAAGGTTACTACCAGTGGAGAGCGGAAAATTAATGCTCTTGAATGCACGCCCTTAAAATTCGGGGTCAATCCCTTCGGATGGCCTTGAAAAATTATTGGGGCAATGACCCCGTATGACCTTGGAAATGTAATTTGAGACCGCAAAAAACCGGGGTCAACGACCTCGCTTGACCTTGAAAATTTATGGAGCCAATGACAACGGAAGTCCTTGAAATTGAAATTAAAACACAGAAATGTCAATGACTTCGGATTTCAACACCAGATTAGTGGCCATTGAACAAGGATGACCTTGATAATGTAATTTGACAATACAAAAAATGGGTAGATAACTTCGGATAACCTTGAAAATTTATGGGGTCAACGGTCTCGGATAACCTTGAAAGGTAATGGAGTCAATCACCTCGGATGAAATTGTTGGTATCAATGGCCTCGGATCACCTGGAAAATATTGTTTCTTAATTTGACACCACAAGAAATGGGTCAATAAGTTCGGGCGGCCTTGAAAATGTATGGGGATAATGAAGAACTGCAGTCATTGACTTTGTATGACATTGAAAATGAATTCTGACACCGCAATTGAGGTCATTGGCCTTAGATGACATTGAAAATGTTATTTGACACCACATTCGACTATCACCTCGAACTAGTTTCTACTCCCACATTTCAAGGTAACAGTCACGTGGCAAGTCACCTTGACCTACTTAACAAGGTCATCACTATGTAGCTTGCGACCTTGAACTGTCCCAGTTTCGGCCCTATACACCTACTAAGAGCAATATTACCTACTGAATCCTTCCAATTTAGAATTGACTTTTTTTACTCCGGCATACTATGCATCCTCGGCAACCCACGGAGCGCATTTCGTCAGAAACATTGTAAACGTCTTTATACGTTAGGGCACTGTCCATCGAGTCTCAAAGTGCAGTAGGCAGGCGCAAGCCAATCGACGTAATTTATCGGTTACTTCTGCAATTTATGGTATGGGATATGCAGCATCTATTGTTTGTTTTCACAAAACCGGTCTGAACCTTGAGAGGTTCCACCCTGTATATACAACTTACGACGATGCACACATTTTTGAGAGTTGGCAACCATGCAATTTCTAGATGGGGAAAAGCTGCCTGCGCCATCTAGAAAAGCACGGACGGGAATTGCGTTTGTCATCTTGTCTCGAATGGCGGCCGTGAACGCCTCGCTCCATAAATGTTTGTTGTTATTTTGTGTTATTTAATGCAGGTAGTAATTTTTGCATTTCTTTGTATCGTATTTGTGTTTTTTGTATGCCGCATTTTATATTTTTTGTGTGTTGAAATTTACTTGGTTTAACCGTAATGCAGAATGACATCTTTAATACCGTTATCCTATTGTTTGTAATCGTTTACGTTTTTGGTGTAATGTTTGCTTAATTTATGTTTATTGATGTTGATTACTTGGTCTTGTCCCTGAAGTTACATTCATATAAGTTTTGATCATTTTATTTGAGTTTGTGGAAATTACCGATTCGTTTGATGTATGTACTGACTTGTTTGTAACTAACCATTTTCTCCGTAAATGAAGCAGTCACGGGGGTAGTAAAAACTGTAGTCAAAATTGAGCTACAACACCTAATTCCGTGATTGTCTTCGGCATTCAACTGTAGGCTCAAACCCCCGAAACCAGGGGCGGATTACCTATCTTGCAGGAGTGGGATTACGCTAATCAAAGCTTTTCAGTTTAGAATCTGTGCGATAAATGAGTGGCGTTTCAATAATTTCCCCATATCTTGTTTTTAGTTAAATTTGCCTACAAGGCCATGTAATTTTCCATCTTGCTTTTAACAAAAGGCCCAAAGATGAGTCACATACTGTGTATTTCACCCTTTCTTAGAATCTCGGTACCTGCTTACCTGATCAATAATTCCCTGTTTTTAACCTATATGTTCCCTTTTGAAGTTTACCTGCTACTTTTTGTGATGTTATAATTTTATGTTACGCATTCACATCATTACAAACAATTAATTTTACAACACAATTTGATATTAATTTGACGGCTGGTTTTTTTATTGGTAAGTTCTTTTTTTCCCAGCCTATTTATATTTTTATTCGGTGAACTACCATTTTCCAAGTTTATTTTTGCAATGTAATTTATTTTGGACTTAAATTTCCGAGCTTTTACAATCAATAATAATTGCGATCATTATTAAACAAACTTTGGAGGGAAGGAAGGGAATAGTCATTCGGGTGGCCATTTTTAAACGTTGCCGGATTGACTTTATTTCCGTGTTCTTGTTGTGTGAAGTTAGCGGAGACCCTGGGGTTAAGTACATGTACACTACAGCCTACATTATCAAGGATACGATTATCAACGAACGTAATAAAGAGTAGAAGTAATGATTAAAAAACAACAAGTCAACATTATATTATATATTTGTTTTCAGTGCCAGAATTAAATCTGATATGTTGTAAATACTGCATATATAGGTAGGTACATACGTTTTGAAAAAAGGGGTGTAATTAATGAGTAAAAAAGTACCCGATAGTTAATCCCTGCCTCGATAGTCGTTATCAGCACACAACCCATTACAGACAAATCAACCTATATACGTTCACAATAATCGATTTAACAGAAACATTTCAAAGGCACATAGAATAATAGAAACGTTTATACTTTAAAAAAGATAAATATAGATATAACATTTATAAAGTCTAAAAAATAGAATATATTCTGGGAAACTAATATAAAGTACATCATCGTCTATCTATTTAGGTACCAACCAAATTGGCAACGCCGCCTGATACACTGTTGTCGCATCCGCATCGCAAAGGAAACAGTTAATTTACAAAATACATATAATTTGCACAAAAATAGGTTAGCTTTAATCATTCTATATAATAGTATTGTGCATCGTACAGATGTCTAAGAAAATTTTACATTGTTTATATTTAGTTTACTAAATGCACATTGAAATGTTTATAAATTTCTTATCACATAACATAGAGAGTGTAGAGCCATCGTGTGAGCGAGGGCGTGTCTACACCGCCAATATGAATTGGTGGGGGAGAACCTTTGGCACATGAAATATAAACCTCGATGCCTCGACAATTTACTTGTTCTCAATTAGAATTTGCAGCTGCAGCACCAGTTCCCTAGCTATCCGCAGTACCGCCTGGGCTTCGTGTCTCTCCGCCATTTCTGAAAGACGCGACTAGTCACTAGTGCACACACATAACATGCTTACCATTGAAAAATTTAATTATATCCGTAAAATCCATACTGTTCGACAAAATAATATCACGGTAAATTTCGAGCAGCGCCAGCGCCAGGAAGAGAACGAAGTGGCTCGAAGCGATCTGCTGGGCGGCCCATATCACCTCCCAAAATGAGAACACGTCATTGTACACCAACTCGCGCTTGAAGTCTAATAGGAACCATCGGTAGCAAAAGTAGAAGTGCGTGTAGTCGCCGTGCGAGTGCATCAGCTCGTACATCTCCGAGTCTAAGATTTGTATTAGCGATCGCATGTTCGCAAAGTGGCAGTCCATCGCGTTGCCGTTCGGAAAATTCTCGACCATACGCTCCATGAGGTGGCAGAAGCACGCGTACGTCAGGCTCTCGTCGTTGAAGATCACCAATAATGGCGCGACCAGATCGCACATGCCCTGCATGTAGCCGATGTCCAGGTGCTCCCACACGTACCTACAATCACATTTTAGTATTAGCACATTTTACCTTAGTCGTGGCAATACTGCAAGAACAAGAAGTATCTTTCTTCCTTCTTAAGTGCGTGCAAAAGCTACCGACGCCAACGAGTCGTGGACATGGCGTAAGTAGTTCTGATTACAGGGGGATTTTGTTTATTTTGCAGTCGCGGTTATCTATCCTGCTACGTAGCATGAGATTTGTTGATTTAGCGGAATTTCACTTCACGCATCGTTGAGTAGAATTAAGCGTTCTGATTGGACAGAAAAATTAGTTTTCATTGGTGGATAAAGGTTGCGTAATACTTAAAAAAGTAAAGTAGTGAGAAGTTGGTGTCGAACCGTCACCGTTGAACCGTAGGCGCAGTTAAGCTGTCAACGAAGTTAATTCGGTCACCGTGGGGTAGTTTTTGAATTTGTGCCAATTTTCACGATAAGCCGCGAGTGAAGTGAAATTAGCCACCTGTAATTTGGCTAAAGACGTGTTTTAAAATCACTAGCGTGGAGCCGCAAACGAATGTAGGTGATCTCCTTGTAATTGACCGCAGGGTAGATTTTATGTGTTACTCGGAACTTCAGGATGAAACCAACCAGCTGTAAATATTACTTGGGAAAAAATTTCGGGCGCCTACAGTAGCAAAGTTAAGTACGTGTAAATAACGCGAACGCTTTAAATGTGAATTAAGGTTTCGTGTCAAGGAATGCTAATTGGAAACTATTACGATAAATACGAACGATAGTAGAAGCTATTTACTAATTCTTTTTTTGGTTCCTCGAGTTGTTCAGAGCCTAGAGATTTTTAAGGTTCTTTGGATTCTTCCATTTCTTGTAATCCTTTATATTATTCAGGCACGATTCGGTTTTTTTCGATTTTTCCGATTCCATAGGATTCTTAGTGTCCTCGTTAGTATCGAAATGATATGCTCTAGGAATTCTGCTATGTTTTCGGATTCCTACGAATCTTCTGTTTCTTAGAAAGCTTCACATTCTTGAAGGTTCTTTTTAAATTCTTGTAATTCAAAAAGATCCTTCGCTTCTCCAATATTTTCTTTGCTACTACTAATTTTTCGTATTTTTCCGATTTTTAATATTTTTTGGAACGATCAGATTCTCCTCCACTGTAGTAGGTGTATGCCTGGACCGTTCAAGGTTGCTCGCCACCTGGTGGTGACCTTAGAAATTAGATCAAGATGAAAGTTACTTGCCACGTGACCGGTGACCTTGGAAAGTAGGTCGCGGTAAAACTCAAAGAGCAAGCTGTAGTTATATTACGTTTTGCGGGGTGTCAAATTACATTTTACAAGGTCAATGACCTCAATAGATGTGGTGTTAAATTACATTATTAAGAGCATTATCATTTCAAGGTCAATGGTGTTAAATTATCATCCCAGGTCAATGACCCCAATTGTGGTGTCAACTAACATCTTCAATGTCATCTAAGGTCAATGACCTCAATTGTGGTGTCAACTCTTCCGAGGTCATTGACCCCACTAATTTTTCAAGGTCATCCGAGAGCATTGACCCTATTTGTTGTAGTTTCAAATTACATGTTTAAGGTCATCCGTGGTTATTGACCGCATAGGACATCCATTCAAGGGCATTCACTTTCCACTCCCCCTGGTAGTTACCATTAAGGTATCCATTGAAGGGTAGTAGGTAGACATGACTGGCGGTGACCTTGGAAAGTAGGTCATGGCGCCGATGGTGACTTTGGAAATTTGGTAAAGGTGAACGTGGGGTGTCGCGTGGGCGGTGGCCTTGGAAATTAGGTCAAGATGAAAGTCGCGTGCCACGTGGGCGGTAAAAGTAGACCACGGTAAAGCTCAAAGGGCAAACATTTCATTTTTTCGGCTGTCAAATTAAATTTACAATTTCAATAACCTCAATTTATGTGGTGTTAAATTACATTTTTAAGCGTACGCAAGGTCATTGGTATCATGTTCGAGGCTATCCAAAGTCCCCATAAAATTTTCAAGGTTAACCAAGTCCATTGGATCATTTTTGTGGTGTCAAATTACATTTCCAAGGTCAAGGTTTTTAACCCGAGGTCATCGATCTCTTTTGTGGAATTACCCTTCCAAGGTCATTAGAGGTCATTAACCAATATTTTTTAAGTACTATCCGAGGACATTGGCACTATTTTTTGTGGTGCCTAATTACATTGCCAAGCTCATCCGAGGTCATTGACCCATAATATTTCCTAGGTTGCTGTCCGATATTCTCAAGGTCATCCTAGGACATTAACCCATTTTTTGGTGTGTTGTCCTTTGTTGGCAACCTTACTGTCATTTTAGAAAGTCCAAAGAACACTGGCGCCCCGTTCTCCTCTGGTAGTAACCTTCATGGTATCGATCAACGGTCATTTCATTAAAGGAAACGTGTAGTGACCTTTGATCGATACTTTGAAGTTTACTGCCAGGAGAGAAAGCGGAGCGACTGTTCTTTGGACATTGCCCAGCCCTACTTTCTAAGGTCGCCGCACTAACAAAAGACAACACAAACACAAAAAATGGGACCAATGATCTAGGGCGTCCATGAGAATGTAAGAAAACGACCTTGGATGATCTTGAAACAGTAATCTGACAGTACAAGAAAGGGCCCACGTGGCACACGACTTTCACTTTGACCAAATTTCCAAGGCCACAGTCACGTGGCACGTCATCTTGATCTGCAACAATTAGGGTCAATGCATACGGATGACCTTGAAAAATTATTGGGACAAAGACCTCGGATGACCTTGAAAAATTATTGGGCCTATGATCGCGGACGGCTTGAAAAATTTATTGGGGCAATGACCTCAGATGACCTTGAAAATGTAATTTGACGGCGCAAAAAAACCCGGGGTCAACGACCTCGCTTGACCTTGATAATTTATGGAGCCAATGACGGACGGAAGACCTTGAAATTGTTATTTGACAACCCAAAAATGGGGTCAATAACCTCGGATTTCAACACCAGAAAGTGGCCATTGAACTTGGATGACCTTGACAATGTTTTGGTGTCAATTACCTAGGATGACTCTGGACTTGTAATTTGAGACCACACCGATAGGGAGTCGACGACCTCGCGTGACCTTGAAAATTGTTGGTGTCAATTGTCTCGGATCACCTGGAAAATGTATTTTGACCCTACAAAAAATGGGTCAATGGCCCGTATGAATAAAAGGAAGCAAATTCTTATACTTGCAAAATTCAAAGTAAATACTCGTAACTGCCCTTTCATACTGGTCTGTTTAGCATGGTTTAGCAGCGCTGCACTGCGTCCTGTCCTGCTGCTCAGCACCGCTGCTCAGTCACCCAGTGTGAAGGAGTACTTACGAGTATTTACTTTGAATTTTGTAAGTATAAGCATTTGCTTCCTTTTATTCATATGGGCCATAGAGTTCGGGCGGCTTTGAAAATGTATGGGGATAATGAAGAACTGCAGTCGTTGACTGAACGCTTTAAATGTGAATTAAGGTTTCGTGTTAAGGAATGCTAATTGGGAACTATTACGATAAATACGAACGATAGTGGAAATTTTTTTAAATACGCGAAGTTGAATTTCACGTTGAACTCGCCGCATCTCTGAAGCAGCTGCTTGTGTCCTTTGCTACGCTGTCCTTTAACACTCACCACAGTCACGATATTGACTAGGGAATGTAACATTCCCTCGCTATGAGGGAAAAATCGAAGGTCCTTTTAAAAAATTATCATGAGAGAAGTAAAACTCCTCATCATTTTGGGAACAAATGTAGTACCGGGGGGTCTGCCCCCCCCCCCCTCCCAGTAAAATGAAAGCATCGATTGTCTTATCTCGAATGAGTAACTCTCACTCATAGTTTTTTTCGTTTTCCGAGGGATTGCGTAATTTGGTGCAATTGCTTGAAACTAGTCGTATCACCCAAGAAGATCGCTATTGTTACTTACGTGCACATGACGTTCCGCAACTTATCCAAATTCTCGCACGTAAAGTACCAATAATTCCTATCGCATCTCTGCACGTCCTTCTCGATCCTGTGGAGATTTAGACCGAACGTCTCCAGAAGCTCGGTCTGAAAACCGTTCAAATGAATCAAAGTCGCGTGGCACGCCACTTACCGAGTACACTCCGCCGTTGGAGCTGGCGGGCGAAACGCAAGCGCTTCGAGCCGGCGACGCCAGACCGTGCGTTTCGATGCAGTCCAACGTATCCAGGGACGACCCGCCCTCCTCGGTGAGCGCGCCCAGGCTACATTTCCGTTGAACTTCCGGCGGAAAGTTCGACATATCAACGCTGGGATTCGTCACGATGACGTTTCCGACGAATTTTCGCAGATCGACCTCGTCCTCTTCCGCCATTATTCGGCTGGTGTGCGTTGTACTGGTGCTCGCTTCCTCTAATACTGGATTTGTCAGTCTTAAGTTCGCTAAATCTACGGTTTCTTCTTCGCAATTATTTTGTTGAGGTAAAGTATCAGGTAAGGCATCGGTTTCATTCTGTTTCGACTTTTCTTCGTCGCTTCCCTCGTAGATGACGGTGTTTTGTTTTGTCTTCTTTAGCTTTTTCGGCTTATCCTCGTTGTCGGTCAGATCTTCGTTCGAGTCGAATTCGTAGTCGCTAATATCCTCAAAAACCTGCAAAGAAGAAAGCGCAATACGTGATTGGGTCGGAATTATAACCGGGCGAGAGACCAGGTCAAAATCATCCAGTAATAAAAGGCAGAAAGTCAGTGCAACATTACCAAAATCGTCTGTCCTAAACAGTGTGTCTTCTTGGGGGATTAATCCAGAGAAGAGAGATTTCACGCGCTCGGTTTTGGGCCGTCAGAGAGATCAGGTGTATAGAAACGGTAACTCTTTCGATACGAAGAAGAACAGTTCGGGGTGCAGCAAGAAACTGTTATTATTCATGAAAATAAACGATGTAAAGTGTCTGTCACAAAATAAACTCGTTGAAGGAATTAGACCTCGCCACCTGTTAGCGTTCGTTGCCGTTACACCAAACTGGCTACTATTCAGGGTTGAAAACAGGAAAGACCTCCTTCCGCTACGAGCTGGGTTCAATTCCAAAGAGTCGACTTCCATTGCCTCCAAGGTTGAGAGGGTTGTGTAGGCATCGTGTGGGTGATAGAAATAGAGATTCTCGAACGATTCGATCTAATTATTTTCGACGTGTTTGATATTGTAAATTAAATTCCTGTAGAAATTCGGTCAGCAGAAGTTAGTACAGCAGTTTGCAGTTTAATATTACACAACGAAAGTCTTCTAACTGAGTCAAATGTAAATTATAAATTTTCAACTGATCTCGTAAATTTCAGTGAATTCGTGTATCTGAAGGCTGAAAAAGAAATATTTTACTTTCAGTTCAAATTGTAGGGCTGCCAACCCTAAGATTGAACATTTAAAAATAATGTTATGTTTTGCGTCAATTTATGGTCATTGTGTTGACGGGAATAAAGGCAGATTATTAAGCGAAAAACTTTCTGGGGAAATCCTATGTATAGTACATATATGCTTTGGAATTTCAATGGAATAACTTTCAGAATGTAAACCGGTCATTAGGTACTGTACATACGATTGATCATTTTACGAGTTTGGTCTAAATTAACCCGTAGATCACGTGTTTGATGTGTTTTTGTACTAAATTGATTTGTCTTGTTTTCCATTTGTATTTATTACGTTTTTTTGTATCACGTTTTTATTGATTTGTTTAACTACATTTGACCTGATTTTTATTGTACGATAATTGGTATATTTCTCCCTTGAATTGTGTTGTAGTAGTTGATTTATTTGTGTTATGCCAGGTTTTTTTCTGGGTTGGTGCAAAAAATAAACGAGACACTATGGAAACTAAAGGAGACAAAGTTCGCAAGAATTACTGGGAAAATGAAAACAGAGAAAAAGAAGTCACAGGAAGAAATTAAGAAGCAAGCTAACAATGACATTAGAAAACAAAGTAGGAAATGGAAGACAGATAAAAACCTGTTTTCCGCCTTGAAAAAAGCGTTTTAAGTTGGGCGCTTCGTTATTAAGATTGAAGTAGGAGTTAGAAATATAAGGTAGACACCACAAAAATTGGGACATTGACCTTGAATAACCTCAAGAATGTAATTGACCACCACAAAATATGAGGTCATTGAACTTCTATGACCTTTAAAATGTAATTTGCACCACAAAGAATTGTCCTCAGATGACCTTGAGAATGAAATTACACCACACTTTGGCTGAATTTGAGAATGTAATTAGAGACTGCATAAAAACGAGGTCATTGACTTCAGATGACCTTGAAAATTTAATTTGACACGGAAAAAATGGGTTCATTGATCTTGGATGGCCGTGAGGGTATAATTAAACACCACATAAAGAAGCCTTTACTTTTGATTACCTCTAATATGTAATTTGACACCACAAAACATGGTGCCTTTGACCTAGTATACTCTTGAAAATGCTATTTGATACAAAAAAATGGGTTCATTGACCTTGGATTACCTGGAGAATGTAATTGGACACCACAAAAGGACGGTATTGATCTATGACCTTAAAACACGACCTTAGATGACTTCGAAAATGTCATTCGACCACATAAAAATGCAGTCATTAACCTTGTATGCCATTGAAATTTTATAACACGATGACCTTGGATGATATTGAAAATTGATTCTGACACCACAATTGGGGTCACTGACCTGGGGAGACCTCGAAGATGTAATTAGCACCATAAGGTCAATAACTTCGTATGCCTTTAAAAATGTAATTTGACATTTGGGCAATGACCTCGGATGACCTTGATCAAGTAATTTATCATACCAACAAAACGGGGCCAACGACCTCGTATGACCTTGAAAATTCATGGTACCAAGTCAACGACCACGGAAGCACGGATGACCTTCAAAATCTAATTTGATAACTAAATAGTGGGTCAATGACCTCGGATGAAAATTAATGGGGTTAATGACTTAGAATAACTTTAAAATTTAATGGGAACAATAACCTTCAGATGATATTGAAAATTAATGAGGTCAATGACCTCAGATGACATTGAAAATAAAATGACCACCGTCGCCCACGTGGCACTCGACTTTCACCTTAACCTAATTCCCCAGGTCACCGCCACGTGATGACGTGACCTTAACCTACTTTCCAAGGTTACCACCAGGTGGCGAGCGACCTTGACTGAGCCAGGAACCACCACCACTAATTAATGGGTTAATTTGTAAAGCCGCCCGTTAAGGAAAATTAGAAGCCGTAGGTATGTAATTTGACGTTTGCAACTGTCCCCGTAGGAACATTTAATTGTTTCTAGAGACACGGAAAGCTCTCTTGCCAGGGAAGAATAGAGAAAATCAATCTGTTTCAATTTTAGATTCATCAATTACCGATTAATCGATTTTACCAGCAATAAACCGGCAATGTCATGCCGTTTCAGGAAAATATGAACGTGACAATCTCACATCCTAAGTGCCAAATTTGGAGATTTCGTTCCGACTATTTGAATAATTATAATTAACCGTAATTAGTTGATTGAGTTACAGTAACTGCCTCCGATTAAGTCGAAATTACATCCGTTAGGTGCGCCCTTAAAAAAATTTATTTTTGACACCAGTCGCATCTGGGAAAAACGTAATTAATTAAAGAAGTAATTTTATTTTACATTAAATTTATCGCACCGTATCTATAGCTTGTCCCGTTTCTTGCGCAGTAGTTCCTACCGCTTCTTTAATTACAAGATAAGCTTCTTGCTACTTTCCGTTTCATTAATTATGAGGAGTGGGGGTATATTGTCTTGCTTTCCTGCATCTGCTTTCCCGTTGAAACCGCTACCGAACCCGATAATTTATTGTTCCCGCTTAGAGAAATTGCAGTGCGTCTTTGTTTTGTCTTTTGTTTGTTTTAGCAATCGCCAGTAGCCGCCAACCGATTGCTCTGTAGAATTCCTGGGACCACCGTTCTCCAAATCTAGCGCCGACCTCAGCAAGAGAGACTGAAAATCGTCGCAAGATTGGGTTAGAGACACATCTGGTCGTTTGCGATAAGGAGCTTTATCAGGCGAAACCTAAGTAACTCACGTGTGTTATCGCTGTTAAAAGATAACAAAGGCGCGGGTATTTTGAAGAATTGCGCGCGTTTCATATTTCGTGGGGATGTTTGGCGCGTGTCGTCACTGATTGGCAATTTGAAAATTTGAAATTTCACAAAGAAGAGGATTATTTTATGGCCGGTTGCAACGGTTGAGGAACGTGTGAATTTGTACGCTAAATAACGGGCAGTCAGCCCTATTTGTTTAATTGAAGAAGCAGTGCGTCACTTTTTTATAAGTGCAAAAGCAACTTCACTAAAGTTTTGTGAGAAGTTTACCGCGGGTTTCTATTGCGTAAAAAGTTTTATCGAGTTGAAAAAGGAAGCAGTGTAGCGCCGCGAGACCTTTTTATTAAAAGTTAAAAAGTTACCGTCTGAATAGCCACCGACAATTTGTTCATCTTATTCATCTAATTCAGTGTTATCAAGATCAAGTGAAGGTTCCTGAAGTTGTCAGCGCGTGTTTTTGTACGAGTTAAGTATCGCAAAGATTGTACTATTTGGATTTTTAAGAAAAAAATACTGTAAGTAATTTTAAGATTTCTTATTTTAATTGCCGACCGTCTGCGTACGGGGTAATATGTCCAAACACGCTTTGTAAGCTCTTTTTTGTATACATTTTGTGCTAATTTGCGTTTCGGAGTAAATTATAATTTTGTTCAACAAAAGAAAATTTACAAATGTACCGCTTCATATGAAACATGAACACGAGTAGGTCCAGCACGTCCGTAGTTCAAAAAGGTGACTGGGCTTTATCTTCCGCGATAAGGTGACGAACGATTTTAGTTTCCCAATTAAAGCTGCAAGGTCGTGCAGTTTATTTCACGACCGCACACCTTTTGATATTGTGTAACAATGGGCGTTATCGGGCTACTGAATTTGTAAATTTCAGCCCGGCCAGTTGAATGAGCATAAAAAGCGGTCGCTAATCACATGTATTGCAGAAAACCTCATCTGATTAGGTTTGCGTAATGTGGTATTGTTGGAAGCGCGCTTAATTAACACGAATTTTAAGATTCGTCCCCGATTTTTCGGACGTCAGGGAGTCTGGTAATTAAATAAAGAAGTTTTAACTTTTATACGTTCGATATTAATTGAGTACACCGCCCGGCTGGGAAATCCGAGGTCTATTTCTACATTTTTTTGGATTTTGGATATTGACCCACCGAGGATCACAAGAAAAAACGCCTAAGTTTACTTTCTGAATATACCGCGTATGAAAAAGGATTTTGCTCAGGTTTGTGATGTCATATATAAATGAAGTGCCTTCGCGCAGTCTAAAAACCAAAATAGACGTCTAGTGTCCACGAAGTGTATCTACCGCTGTAACTAACTAAAGTGTAAAGTCACTAAATATAGAAAGTACCGCAATCCATTGGACTCGTGTGTTAGAGAGAGAACGCATGATTTTTGCCCAAAAATGGCGGAAGTTACCAGATTCTAGTAACTTTAATGTTAGGGATTGTTCCACCTGTTTGGAGATATCTGTATAATATTTTTATAAAACATGACAGTACTATGAAGTTAGGTTATAAAAAATTACAGCTATTCAGATTTTATTTGTCAATTTTTTTAAGTTGGCAGCAAATTTGCCCAAAAATGGCGGATGATTGCGGTACTTTCTATATCTAGTGACTTTACTAAAGTGCAATATTGTACGCCATTTATCGGAAGATAAAGTAACGATTACAAAATGCACTCACATCATTACTGAGGTCGCGCTGAATTTGGGGAGGAACCTGTTCGCCGCTGGTGCTCTCGCTGCTCAACTTCGCTATGGCGTTCGCCTGCGTTTCCTTGTCGCGTTGCTTCACGATCGCCTCAACCGCTAGCCATTCCGACATAGTAGTCTCGTACCTGCAAAACGACCAATCACCGGTACGACCAATAAAATCGCGCGCTCCTTACGCCTGCTTGGTCAGCTCCGACAGCTCCTCCCTCTGCGCCGCCGAGCTGCCGAACTTGTAATGGCCCAACAGGTAAGGCCACACCTCCTTTCGCAACGCGTGCGCAACTCCTCCGTAGTAAGTCAGCTTGTAGACCTCTTCCGCGTCGCTCAGCACGCCTTCGACGAAAAGCTCGGCCCACTTCGCCTCGGACAGTCCGTCTTTGGCGTTCTCGCCGGACACAATCGTGCCGTGTACTAAACCGCTCAAGTGCGTCCGCACCGTCGACAGATGGCGACAGTAGGCGAGCCAGCCGTAAAACGCGCGCGATATTATCTGCCGCTTCATAGAGTCGCACACCGCCTGTATGCAAATATTAGAACCGTCGTTGATCGTGCAGCTCTGCTCTATGCTAAAGCTCTTCGTCGAGCTTTCCGAGCTCGTGCTCGAGCTGCCGAGTTGCGCGCGAACTTTGGTCGTCACGTGACCGTTTCTGTTCATTAGATCGTGCCGCTTTACTGCTTATGAAAAGAACTGTTACGACTGATCGTTCGCGACGACTAGGCAACTTACAAATCTCCTTGTGATTGCTGCTGTCGACGATGCGAAAGACGAAATCCTTCGGCTCGTCTTCGTTTTCGACCAGCGACGGTAGGGGGCGTTTGCGCTTGTGATGCCTCGCCGAGCAGGACTGCTGCGACCAGAGGGGCGGGTCTAGACGGCCGCGAGGGAGCAACCCGGTCTCGAGACAGTTGAGAAATGCGAGCATGTGACCACCTAGGCGTCAATCGTTAGAGAGACGGGCGGTTTTGGGGTGGGTTTACCTCGTGGGAAGTGTATGGGAGGCCGTTGCACGCCGTCCTGGCCCACCAAGATGACGGTCCCGCCTGTTTCGACGTCTTGGTGACAGTGAACGTAGACGACTTCGTCGAGCCTGACCTGAATGGCGTAATCCCAGTAGATGTTTTTATCGGGCACGTCGCTCTCCGTGAAGCCGTTCATTAGCTGGTTGGGCGTCCATTTGATGGTGAGACAGTTGGCGCTCTGATGCAGGCTGAGGTAGCCTGGCATCGGCTCCGTTTGGCCCGCCTTAGGTGGTGTTACTAGAACATTATTTTTACCGAATAGTAAAGTGGCGCGTGAATTTTGGTGTAGGCTTTCCACGTAATCCTTGGCTAAGTGTTGAGTTTGGCAACGGTTACTTGATTCGTCTGAGCTTGTGTTTAGTGACCGTCGAAAGTTCGGGATTGGACGTCTTACGGGTGGAGGCGTGGAGTGGCTGCTTGATATGCGATGCCGTTGCAGCTGAAATGATGCTAGAAAAATGAGTGAGCTTTGGAGGTGACCGTACCAGTTCGTCGGCGGGTGGATCAGTCCAGAAGTGATCGGCGGTTTTTGTTCTTGAATAATCCAAAGCACAGGGTCCGACGAGTAAGGAACTCAAAATGCTTCCATAGTCTGGATCTGCAACCAAGGCATCCTTATCGTAGTACCTACCCGCATTGGTCACCAAGTAATCTATTATACGCGAAAGCTGCTTTTCAAAAAGTGCCAATCTAATCCACAAGTACTTGGGAAGTAAGTTTACGTTTTGGAGTGACAAATTCTTCATCAAAGTCGGCTTTGTCGTACTATCGCTACTACTGGAGGACCTTCGGTTCGGATCTAAGTTTTCTAATTCTATCACTTTCTTAGAAACTAAAGCAGCTTCGGGACTATGTTTGGCTATCTTGTGCAAAAGGGCAGTTGTTGACGAAGTTTTAAATAATCCTAGCGCTCGTCTACGCAATCCTAAAATTTTCCGCAACGTTAAACTGACATGAAAAACAAATGAAGCGAGCAAAATAAACATTTGATACCTTGCGATAAACAAGCTTCGACAGCGCCACATAATGACGTCACCGACCCCGATTCCTCGTGTACAAACTTTTTCGTTACGGACTCTTCCATTACTTGTTTTACTTCTTTTTTAACAGATGCAATTAATTTCGCTTTATAATCGTTTTCTACGGAGGAAAGCCGTCAGTACGCTAACTGTTGCGTTTTTATTTTACCTTGTCCCGAAGTCATCGTGCGATGCGAGCTTTATGAAAATAAAAAAAATATATCACGATAAGCTTAAAAAAATGCGTAACGAACGTAGGTGGGTACGCCACATCACAGTTTTCGTATAATGTGTAGCTACCTTGAAAAGTGCAATCGATTTTGTGTTTTATCATTTCGCGCAAGCCCAATTTTGATTGTGGTATCCGGTGATGCACACGCCACTGGTGACTAACTAAAAGTGCCGAAGTTCGACCACAGATAGCGCACTGACATTCTATGTTACGAGTACCTAAAATTCAACGTGACTCCTATTAAAAGCGCATGTTACAAACTCGAATTCAGTTTACTTTATAAAAAGAAGAGAATACCAAATTAAAGTGGGACTAAGGTTATATTCGTTACAACTCTTTTGTGCCGCCGCCTTTGTTTTTCGTAGGGAGATGCGTCCAGAAACTTACCACTTTTCGGTACCTATTGGCCGGGAAAATGTCGCTAAAAATGGGCTGATGGTAGAACTGATTTATTGGGCGTGCAAAAATGTGAAACTTGAGGATTCGCTTACAGGTTTTCGTTTACTGTTTATGGCAAGAGAGATCAGGAGCGAATCGCAAGTATGCGAAATAATTTTATGTGGCGTTTGTGCATCTGATAATAATTGTTACATAACTATAGCATGTAAGGTATAGTGTTTACATTACAGCCCAAAGTAGGGACTGTTGATGTTGCGCCACGACCTAGCGTAAAATTTTGCGCTATTACTGAAAAATTAAAAACGGGACGGGAGAATATCCACATTATAATGAATCACGTGTTCATTGACTAAAAATACAAATTAGGTAAGTAAATTGATTCAAAATCTTGATTTGGTGATCGATACGGCGCATGTACTAGAAATTGGAATAATTAGGAAAGGAATTAAAGTTAGTTCAATAAACAAACGAAGCCGCCAGCTGGCGATTGCTGTCTTTTTTCGGTAGCGTTAACGAAGGCTGTTGATTGATTTAACGACAAAGGAGATGACTCATCTTTGGCGAAGGTGATGTTAACGACAAAAGCTTTCACAGCGCTGTACAAATATAAGTACGACGAAAATGGCATGTTGCTTTTTAACAGACATGCTCATTGTTTATGGTTGAATGACATATCTTGTAGTATTTTTCGACTGTTGCTAATTCGCTAATGCGCAGCACATTAAAAAGTGGGAATATATACAGGGACAGGACAAATAGTTACATACAGCTGGGGTGCTAAGGATAATTTCTTTGAAGGAATAACTAAAATGTAACACTTCTATTTTCATTTGAATTTAGATTAAAGATTAGGAAGCAACTTAGTAACAGAACTCGAGTTTCGAACGACTAGGAACTAATACTAATTAGCTCCCCTCAACTCACTATCACAGAACGTGTGTAAATACACAACCTTCCAACGCTTCCAAAAATTATATTGCTGGAGGTTGAGAGGTTCCACCCTGTATATACAACTTACGACGATACATACCTACATTTTGTAGAGTTGGCAACCATGCAATTTCTAGGTGGGAAAAAGCGGCCTGCGCCATCTTGAAAGCACAAACGGGGGTGACGTTTGGCGTCTTGTCCTGAATCGCAGTCGTGAACGCGTCGTTCTATAAATGTTTGTTGTTATTTTGTGTTATTTAATGCAGGTAGTAATTTTTGCATTTCTTTATATCGTATTTGTGTTTTGTGTGTCACATTTTATATATTTTTTGTGTGTTTCAATCTTTGTTTTTGAAATTTACTTGGTTTAATCGCAATGCAGAATGACATGTTTAATACCGTTATCCTTTTGTTTGTAATTGTTTACGTTTTTGGTGTAAAGCTTGCTGATATTGATGTTGATTACATGGCCTTGCCCCTGAAGTATCATTCATATAAGTTTTGATCATTTTATTTTAATATGTCGAAATTACCGATTCGTTTGATGTATGTACAGACTTGTTGTTTGTAACTAACAATTTTCTCCGTGAATCAAGCAGGCCCGGGGGTGGTAAAAAAACTGTAGTCAAAATTGAGCTACGACACATAATTCCGTGATTGTCTTCGACATTCGACTGTAGGCTCGAAACCCCGAAACCAGTGACGAGTTACCTATCTTGCAGGAGCGGGATTACGGTAATCAAAGCTCTTCAGTTAAATGAGTGGCGATTCAATAATTTCCACGTATCTTGTTTTTAATTAAATTTGCCTACAAGGTCATGAAATTTTCCATCTTGCTTTTAACAAAATGACTTTATTGCACCAAAGATGATGTGATGTGATGTTATAATTTTATGTTACGCATTCACATCATTACAAACAACTAATTTTACAACACAATTTGATATTAATTTGACGGCTGGTTTTTTATTGGTAAGTTCTTTTTACCCAGCCTATTTCTATTGTTATTCGGTGAACTACCATTTTCAAAGTTTATTTTTGCAATGTAATTTATTTCGACTTAAATTTCCGAGCTTTCACAATCTTAATAATTTCAATCATTATTAAACAAACTTTTTACAATTTGAGTTTTATTTTACGTTCCTTCCCTACTGTGCTTCAGGTCAAAGCGTTGTCTATAACTAACGAAAGGGGGCCCTGCCTTAGATTTTTGATCACGTGCCATTTTTCAAATTTAAGCGGGATCTTGTTTAGTTTTGGAGGGAATAGTCATTCGGGTGGCCATTTTAAACGTTTCCGGGTTTATTTCCGTGTTCTGGTTAGTTAGCGTAGAACCTGGGGGTTAAGTACACTACAAGGTATTGCACTAATTAGAAACGGGAGGGACGAGTAGTCGAAAGGTGTGAGAAATCAAGATCTGATTGGGAAGACAAAGGTACTAAGGTCAGAAAATATCCGAGAGTGGGACTAGGTATTCATATAATGTTGGTTAGGATGCGTTTAGACGTTTTATTGCCCGGCGCGGTTATTGTGTCCAAAAAGTACAGGTTTTACGCTAACTTCGCACTACAGTACAAGAAAACAAAATTAACAGAGCAACATTTAAAAATGGTAACCGAAATGGATATTTGGTCGAAATGCAAACCAGATCCGGCTTAAATTTGAAATCGAAAGTTTAAAACAGTGAATGGGAACTCATATCGCACATAAATTCTAAAGCAAACAGTTTTTTATTAGAAGGATCTCGCCCCTGGGATGGGTAACTTGCCCCTCGTGCGGAAATTTCCAAACTGCAGTTGAGATTTGACATCAATTGCAGCCTTAAATGGCGTAACTGAAAACGAGATCCCTACGGAGGGGATCATCTTGTCTGATTCCTTAAATTTATAGAATGACTTCTAAAGAGGGGTTTTCCAAATTTGGACCTGCTTTAAATTACAATGAACCTACATAGCATCATTTTATTCCATTCAGAGCCGGTTTGTGCAAACAAAAACCGGAAACATATTGAATAAATCCCAAAACCTTTAATGTACCTTCCTCAGAATTCAATGTCCAAAACGCGTTTCCATTGAACCCCTGCCGTTTTGGGAAAATCCGGTTCCGAAAAATCAAGGTTAAGAGGGTATTCCGCGCTCGATTCTCTATTCTGTAGACGTTTTCAAGTACCAAGGACTTCAAGATGGAGCACCGCAATTAGTAAGTTTTCTCAAGGGAAACTCGTAGAAATACTTCGCTATAGTTTTTTTGCTACCATGTTGCAAGCGAGAAAGTAAAAGCGCCAGTAGAAGGAGTCTCTGGATCCCAAAAAAAAAGCAATTGAGGATTTTAGTTGAATGGCGAGTAGTGTATAAACCTGGAACTTGGCCAGCACAGGACTTGGATTAGGAAGTCTCTGAGCATAGGCGGTATGAATGTAAAGGTAACCACACACATAAAATTTGCCCTCAAGGTTTGAATTGCGCAGACCAATCCCTGATATATTCCTCACCGTGTGTGCTGTAGACCTTTATTTTATTTATTTTATTTATTTTATTTATTTTATTTATTTTATTTATTTTATTTATTTTATTTATTTTATTTATTTTATTTATTTTATTTATTTTATTTATTTTATTTATTTTATTTATTTTATTTATTTTATTTATTTTATTTATTTTATTTATTTTATTTATTTTATTTATTTTATTTATTTTATTTATTTTATTTATTTTTGAGTGGGCGGGGTTTCAATCAAGGCTGCTCTACGAACCCAACTCACTGTACTTTTACAAATATCTATGCTAAAACCCGGATTCGAACCAGGGCCCCTTGATACCGCAGTGCAGCTTCACCTGAACTGCTCCACACGGGCCCGCAGTATATACAACTTTTAAATATAGCTAATTACCAATTTGATGTCAAAATTGTAGGAATTAAAATGGCGGACCCAATATGGCCGATAAAAATGTCAAAATTCGTAGATTCTTCTAAAAATACGTATATATCGGAAGGTCGTTACTTGTGAAATTGATGAAAACAAAATTCAAGATTAAAAATGCCGGATCTAATATGGCGGACAAAATATGTTCTAAAATTGCTTCCATTTTGCTGAAAATGCGTACCTACTTATAGATTATAGAGGTCACTGACGAAATCATTAAAACAAAGATCACGAATCAACAGCTAGCGCGGGACCCATGATTCATGTGTCCACACATTTCGGTTAGTATGGCGGAACGTAAGAAGCGGCCGTGCTCACTAAGACGGCTCCATTGAGTTAGAAGTCTTCTAACTCTATGGACGTCCCACACAGCTTTTCCTTTCTGAAAAGTCATCCGGTTGGTAGCTCTCAAAAATGTGTGCATTATTGTAGGTTGTATAGGCAGTGTGTTCCAGAGGGAAACGGCAATGTATTTTTTGGGAAGGATCCACGAGGCCTTTGCAATTAGCGTCAACGTAGGTACTACTTCAATTTTTTTTTAGTATCAGGCAAGCGCAATAACCACGAACTAATAAATTAAGATGGACTGCTGATCAAACAGTTGCATAGAGGTAGAAATGGCCCTAGCATGGGCGCCGGCATGATATGCACGTTTTAGTTATTTTCTAGGGAATTTTTCCTAGTGCTCAAGTGTTGAGACTATTGCAGCCTTAGAAAATGACATGTCACAGTAATTTATTTAGAAAACGTGAGGTCAATGCTTGTTTATCAGTTCATTTGAATTTCGCGCCAAGTAAGTGTACATCATGGCTGCCCCCATGTAGGTGTCATTTGTCAAATCAGCATTAGCAGTCCTTAATTTATAAGTTCGTGGCAACGTACGTTGAACACTTGAACGCTACCTTCCAATACAAAGGCCTCTTGGATCCTTCGCGAAAAAATTTATTAACTCTGTTTGCTTAGGTGCGTTCACCTGGGACGCACGGTATACCTACCTATACAGGGTGGAACCGCTCAGATTGTTAATTCCTAGCTTTAGTCAAAGTCGGGATTTATCAACCGTTGCGAAACTACGGACAACTAATTTTAACCATCGGATTGAAAGATAAACAATGTTCATTTGAAAATGTATTCTATCGTGCTCTTGGAAGCAAAGTTGCACAGTTTAGGTGGGCTTTTTGGAGAAGTAGCCCACATGTAAAACCAAGCGGTCGATGTTATTTATTATTGGTTGCATTCTTATCATTTAAGGTTTGGATTTAGAGAATATAGGCAACTGGTGATGCACATGTAATTCAATAGGGCGTGCATTGCCTCTGAACTTCATTCACCATTCCATAAGCAAGGGGTGTATATGATCAGAAAAATATGCATTAGATAGATAGATGTACAGAGCATAGTTTCCATACAATATAAACTGATATTTTGTCCATTAATATATGTTTAAAAAATCTAGAAAACATGTGTCAAAAGAGTTCATAGTTTAGGAATTAATTGCAAAAATTAGGGAGCATTTTAAGCAATACGAGTGTATGGGATCGGTAGCGTGAATACTTATCTATATTTTGGCAATTTATGTCAAGCTCAAAAGTTTTCATAAAAAAAGTGGTGAATGAAGTTCTGAAAAATGAGCATGTAAACTGGAGAAATGGAAATAAACTACGCAGCTGTGACTAATATCGCGGTAAACAGTGTAGCTTCTTTCTCACAGAGGGTGCCACCAAGAGCGAGCGAGAAGTCGGTAAAAAATACGATAAAGGTCTGCTTGTAATAGAATTTGCTGACAGCAAGAAAAAGATCGTTCACTGGTATATTTTTATTTTGTCAACTAGGTACTTGCTTCGAAATTTATTTGGTTTCTCTTTCCTATTCATTGCAAAAGGTACCTCCTCTACCTATCGTTTTATGAAATAAATAATAGAAATGGGGATAGGTAACATTCCTTTACAACAAATATCAAAATTTTACGTTATTTTTAGAACAAAGGGCCGTTGTATATTGTTGTTGATGTCTGGCAAGTTGCGACCTTGTGTGGGTGTTTATTTGTAATGCGATTTGTTTGACCGTCTTCCTTATTCTTTATCTTTGCTTATTGCACTTTGCAGATTAAAATACCGTAATTTATAATCCATACCTTGTTGAAAATTAAATTTTTTGAACTTCAATAGTACCATTGAATAAAGCTCTTTATTCAATGGTAGTACCTATTACATATTAGTATTAGTTTAGTCAGTTTAGTGTAATGTGTAATAATTGACCTATACAGGGTGATTCAAATTCAAAGGCCACCATGGGGATCTCGGGAACTGTAAGAGATAGGTAGTTTACATTTGACAAAGTTACCCTTGATGGTAACATCATCTATTTTTAATAAGAAATAACGTTAATTCGTAAAAACGCAAGAAACTACTTACGTACGTTACTTAAGACAAAGGCAAAAAAGATATTTTACAAGCATTAAAAAAATTAATGTGTACATTTTTGAAATCAGAAAAAAATTCTCTATCAAATTACACAAAAAGTAAAAATTACTTCCGTAAGAAACAAAGTTGACGATAGTTAACCGGAGACGAAACGTCAAACTTTAAATTTAAAAGTAGGTATCTTTGTAAATAACTATTAACTTCAGTAAAAAACAAATACGATTTTCAAAATCTCGTTTTTTCCGGATATCTCCGAAAGTAGTCAGAATTTCAGTTTCAAAACTGTTTTTGTTAAGCATCAAAGTACACAACTTTGCCAAATTTACCACCTACGTAACTCTTTACAGTTCCCGAGATACCCATGGTGGCCCTCGAATTCGAATCAGCCTGTCAATTACTAATTTACAAAAAAAACATCCCTCGAATGTAAGACATGGGGAACAAATGTATATTTAGGTGTAAACGGCTAAAAAATTTAAAAAAAAATCGGTATACCGTATGTCCCCGGATTGACTTACAAGAAGAAAAACTTTTACTATACTTACTTTTTGACAAAAATGCATTCTCTATAAAAGCTTTTGCTTGTTCTAATTCGAAATTTCCCTACCGTTTCAGAGAAAAATACAAAAAAAACGAAAATATGGTTGAACTTTTTCCAAGTCCTAAAAGTCAAAATGCTGGGAATGAAAGAATACAGACACAAAAATAAACGTGTTTATTATAAAAAGCACAAAGGAAATGAATTTCTATTGAATATGGTTGACGTAGGCACGGCGGCTACTAGAATATGGTAAAGTTACGAAGGATAATGTAAACAAAGGAACTTACGTGTTGTTTCGAAGTCCATTAACAACGAAGGCGATATTGCAATGGGGAATGTTGCTCTCTTCTACGAATTGGTCGATTTTGTTACAACGAAATCTTCATGTAATAACATTTCGTTAGTTACAAAGTCTTCGTTACCTGTTATTTGAATAGGCACTAGGATCGTTATAAGTATAACAACACACTTCGTAATGACATTGAATAAAAACCTCTTTATTCAATGGTAACAATGAAAAAGAATTGAATTTCCAAAGGGTTTTCTTAGAATTGTCGGCGTTTTACCGTTAAGTGAAGGAATCAAGAGTTTTACTGAGGGCCCTTCCAAACAAAAAGCCCCTGTCGCCACTTGTGAACCAATTTTACGACCTTAATTTTGAAAGTGCCCCATGCCAATAATTACGCGATTTTTACTTCATACGTTACGTTACAATCGGTTCATTATTCTCCTCAAGTTATGTGCGGTAGAGAGCTAATTATAATTTTGTTAACCTAGCAGTTTATAAGGAGCCGTGAACGACCTTGCGTTTGTGCTTTGTATCTTCTTGTCGTGTGATTATGCAAATCAAATTGCATTTTTTTTAAAGCACCCTCTGTGTTGTTTGGGGCCCACTTAAAGAGAGTAATTTATTTAAATATTTGTATAGAAAACTGCTGTAGTTACGCTATTCATTATTAGGTACCAGCACATTCTAACGAAAAAAACTTTGTCCTTTACTATGGGTACTTCTCTTTTCAGGCAATCCCAGCCTTAAATGCACCAATTAAATCAAAGCGACTTTTTTTAAAAATTACATGTTGGTATCACGCATGCTCCATGAAGAGAGTCACGTTTAGATTTAGATTTTAGATGCCGAATTACCGATAACCTCAATTAATCGATTTTAGTCCGTCCACAAATTTGGTTTGCGTTTTATCAGTTTTATGATTTAAATCAACGAATTTTACACATTTCCAGGATGATACACGTGAACACAGACTATCAGAATAAGGCCGAGCAAATTTTGAAGGGTTTTCAGGTGTAAGTAGATCGCAAGATTCCGATACTTTAAAATCGAGTGCCTGTTTTCAGCAATTGGATCTGCCTGCGAGACGCCGACGGTGGCAAAGTGTTCTGGCAGGGCTCCGACGACCTCAGCCAACCGGACATCGAGCACGAAGCTCACGTACCGAAAACGATACTAAAATGCAGGGCGGTTTCGAGAGAGTTTAATTTTAGTTCGAAGGAGTGCATCGAAAAATTCAGACTTGAACAGGTACTCACGTTCAGTGCTCGGTTTGTACATACTCATTGCGTTTCGCTTGCAGAAAGTGCTGTTTAAGGGGCGCGTGCTCGAGGAGTGGTATTTCGATTTTGGCTTCGTTATGCCCGAGTCCACGAATACGTGGCAGTCGATAATGGAGGCGGCACCCGAATCGCAAATGATGCCGGCGTCAATTTTAAAGTATAATCAAGTTTTAAGGGGGCGAATTTAGTTTAATTTGTCTACTTTCAGCGGTAATGTCGTAATTGAAACTAAGTTTTTCGATGACGGTTTGCTAATTTCCACGTCACGAGTAAGACTGTTTTATGTGTGAGGGGATGGAGGCAGTGATGTTCAGGGACCATTTTGTATTTTCGTCGGCCTAAGCTCATATAATCACCTCGAGAATAATACAAACAAATCAAATTTTGTTCTGTGATCTTTGTTTTTTTGTAAAGTGATAGCTTTTGTAAAGTGTAGGTAACTAAATGTATATGTAAATATTACTCGTAATAAATATTACTTAAGGATTTTATTAATTAGTTTCTATTAGAAATTGATGGTGTGAAGGGCTTATTAGAGTCCCATGGTTAGGCAACACACCTTACGTCAGAGAGAATGATGGAAGATTTTATCCTTTATTGCAGTTTTTCACTATTTATATGTCACAAGCTTTGTTTTTACCCTTAAAAGCACGGTAATGAGTTGATCATACAAATACAAGAAAAATGCGATGACCTTTTTCAGGACATGAGACTCGATTACGTGTTGTTCAATCAGAGAAACTTCCCCAAATTATAATTCCCAACGTCATTTGTCGAATTAGTTTGAATTTACTCCGTACAACCTTGGACTAAATCATTTAAAAAAAAATTCTCTGACTGACGGGCGATTGTGCGTGGCTTCAGGCGTTACTCGTACCTAATTTTTTCTCTGTCGCGCTTTGAAACTATAATAATATATATAGCGCCAAAATAGTATAATATTTGTACCTGAAGAATAGCTCTTTTGAACTAACCCGAGTTTGTTTTAATCGGCTCAGCCGTTTCAAAGATACAAGGTGTTCTTTACGGAAACCTTTGAATACCACCCACCACTTCATTTTTAGAGATACAGCAAAAATTGTCAAACAAAAAAGGTTTAGATTATCGTCGGCTTGAAAGACCGGGCATTTTTTTGTTAGGTTAATGCAGCGGAATTCATAGAAACATCACTTTTTTAGATTCCAGTACAGTCACTAAATTTAGAAAGTACCGCAATCCATTGGGCTCGTGTGTTAGAGAGAGAAAGCATGATTTTTACCCAAAAATGGCGGAAGTTACCAGATTCTAGTAACTTTAATGTTAGGGATTGTTCCACCTGTTTGGAGATATCTGCATATATTTTTATCACAGCCGTCTATTTTTTACTACGAGTAAAAAATAACAGGAGAGAATATAACGATGGTGGGAAATAGCATAACACGCGACGGAAGTCGTCAAAATATCAGTTCCTTTGCGCTGGTCAGTTATGTCGACTTGACTTATCATAAAACAGAAGAGACGATGTCAGTTTTGTTTTATTACACCACTGCCAATAATGACGCGTTTCTCCCCACTCTTTTCGCACTTTTATCACTTCCTTTTTGTCCATTTCCGTCAAGTCCCCTTTTAATGCAAGGTTCTCTCCTTTTATTTTTTACTCTAGATTTTTTATAAAACATGACAGTACTATGAAGTTAGGTTATGAAAAATTACAGCTATTCAGATTTTATTTGTCAATTTTTTTAAGTTGGCAGCAAATTTGCCCAAAAATGGCGGATGATTGCGGTACTTTCTATATTAGTGACTTTAGATTCCAGATTGCAGTTACGCCTCCTAGCGGCCATTTCAGTAGCTTAAAAATATTTTCCAGGTTTTTCTTGTGGCCGTTTTAGTATTAACTTTTTTTACCGCAAGCCTCTACGATGGATAGGTTCTCAGATACAGTACCTCGCATTCTTATTTGGCCACCCTGTACAACATAATTAAACTACTTTTCACAATTTCAGTGTTTTATTTTATGTTCCTTCTCTAGTGCACTTCAGGTCATGGCGTTGTTTATAATTAACCTAAGGCCTGATGTTTGAACACGTGCCACTTTTCAAATTTAAGCGGGATCTTGTTTAGTTTTGGAGCGAATAGTCATTCCATTGGCCATTTTTATACGTTGCCGGGTTCACTTTATTTCCCTGTTCTTGTAGTGTGAAGTTAGTGTAGAACCTTGGGGTTAAGTACACTACAGGAGTATTGTACTTGAAAACCTTTGATGCTAGGTGTAGGGAAATGACGTATATTGAAAATAAAATATAGGGTGTTCCATTTAAAATAACAAAGTTGCTATCCACATCCAATAACGCCGGAAGTGAAATGATCATGATAATGTTTGTATATAACTTATCATTTTACGAGTTGTATTATCTAAATTGAACCGTAGATGTGTTTTGTACTTGATTTGATTTATTATCATGTTTTCGACTTGTATTTATGACGCCTCTCGTGTCTCGTTCTTGTCAAGTGGCTCGACACCTATAATTGTACGATTAAATATTTGCAATCTGCTACAGTTGATTTCTTCTTGTATTTGTGTAGGTTATGCCAGGTTTTTTGTTCATAAAAGGTTTTCCTGTTATCGCCTTGTTTTGTGCGTAATAGATTTATTTGTTCTTCTCTTTTCTTACGCACATAATTCCGCATTTTATTAAATTCGCTTCCCTATTACCTATGTCTCACGTCCCAACACATAAAAGATCCGTCAGTATACACAACGTAAGACCCAAGCCCTTGCTTGTAGTTTTTCCGTTGGATAATTACAGTTCTTTGTTTGCACTTGTCTGACAAACTCCCACTTTAAGTGCACGTAAAAAATTGACTTTTCGGGATGTTATCATATTGTACTGCCCATGTAAGACAGAAAAAAGTTATAAACTGACTATTTTAGATATTTGTACCGGGACCCAATAAGACTGTTCCTCGGCCATATCTCGAGGACCGTTCGTCATATGACTTAGGGGTAAACAAAATTATTGGGTACATCGGTCATGAAGAATCGCTGGAAAATATTTTCAAGTTCTAAAAATGACCAACAGAGGGCGTAACTGCTATCTTCAAACTTAAAATTGCATTTTCTTTAAATTTGGCATAATAAACTAAACATTTTTAAAGAGAACCAATTTATCTATCATTTTCGTAAAAACAAAAACTCAGTTAATTCAAAAACAAAGATGGTGTGAGGCGTTCAATTGTTATTGCAATAACTTGTTTTAACTTAGTGGATTGATAAAGACACTAAACCTATTCCCCATACTTCTTTTAATTATTTCAGGTAGGTATTAGAAAAGAAGTATGGGGAAGGTTTAGTGTCTGTATCAATCCATTTAGTAAATATCACCCCGTTTTGAGTCGTTATAAGATGGATAGCTACCAATTGTTTTAACTTCTTAACCGTTTGACTGATTGTAATAAATTTGGTATGGTTAAAAAGAGCATTCCTTGGGCAATGAGAATCAACCAAAATATAGTTAAAATATAGTTAGTTTAGTTGAATCCTTCTCCGCCAGGGGGCTAGTTTTGACACTATGACCCAAAATCCTAAAAAAATCAAATGGAATGATATTACTTTTTCTTTATGAAAAAGTAGCCAAATAACATCCAAAGAAGCCAGTGAAAACAGTTTTCAAAATCTCGTTCCTAACCTCAAATATTTAGAAAATGAAATTAATTAATTAAAATATTTAAATTGTATCTTATTTGACGTATTTCCGGTATTTGTCGATGGCGCGAAAGATTGTTTGGAAAAGCACCCTACACTTTTAGGTAGGCCTTGGAAAATTAAACAAATGAAACACGATGCATTATAAAATAATAACAGCCATAATTTGTAAATTATTCTGCTGTGTTTACATTCAGAAAGTGCAGTTTTTTGAATTTGTAATCTTTTCTAAAATGCCGCTTTAACCAAGAAGCATTTAATATACTGGCGATATATTTTGAGTATTTTCAAAATGCAACCATCGCCGACCACTTCTTCTATTTGAGTTATCCGAATCGACCACGAACCATCGCCGCCAGCATATTAAATGCCTCTTGGTTAGAAATCGGCATTTTAGAAAAGATTTCAAATTCAAAAAACTGCACTTTCTGAATGTAAACACAGCAGAATGGTTATTATTTTATAATGTATCGTGTTTCACTTGTTTAATTTTCCAAGGTTAGGAACGAGATTTTGAAAAACGGTTTTCACTGGCCTCTTTGGGTGTTATTTGGCTACTTTTTCATAAAGAAAGTCATATCATTCCATTTGATTTTTTTAGGATTTTGGATTATAGTGTCAAATCTGTCCCCTGGCGGAGAAGGATTCAACTAAATTAACTATATTTTGGTTGATTCTTGTTGCCCAGGGAATGCTCTTTTCAACGATACCAAATTACAATCGGTCAAATGGTTAATAAGTTAAAACAGGTTATTGCAAAAACAATTGAACGCCCCACGCCATCTTTGTTTTTGAAATAACTGAGTTTTTGTTTTAATGATAGAAAAACTGGTTCTCTTTAAAAATGTGAAAAAAGAATGTTTACTTTATTATACCAAATTTAAAGAAAATGCAATTTTAAGTTTGAAGATAGCAGTTACGCCCTCTGGTGGTCATTTTTAGAACTTAAACATATTTTCCAGCGATTCTCCATAACCGATTTACCCAATAATTTTTTTTACCCCTCAGTCATACGACGAACGGTTCCCGAGATATGGCCGAGGAACAGTCTTATTGGGTCACCCGGTACTACAGTGGTGTAGGAAAAAAATGTTGCGACCACCGTTTCTGAGATTTGGCATGTTGGTATTTTTTAAATTTAACATCCTGTATATTTAAACGTCAATTATTTTGCAATTTTTTTTCTCTGATTACATTGATTTTCACAACTTATATTTTTCATATAATATCATATTTTTACCGGTAGCCATTTATTGGTAGCTGCTGCCGTAGTTACCATGGATACAATAAAGAAAACAAAATCTCCATGAATTCCAAGCCTACTACTTAAAACTATAAAAAAATAAGGTTTTTATTAATGGTTCATGGCTAAAATTTAAAAAATATTGGTTGTGATACATCAATGTAATCAGGAAAAAATTGAAGTTAAGATATACAGGGTGTTGCAAGAGCAAGACCACACTCATACCATATAGTAATCGAAACAAAAGTGAAGAGATTGAAGTGCGTGTGCGAGGGAGAAGGCCTTCGACTGTTTATTCTGGCAATATCTTTGCGATATTAAAAAAAAACTAATTATCATATGTTTTAATATACTGTTCATCAATCAAGATGACACAATAGTACAGATGTAGCGGCCTTGGATCAAAATTTAACTCCTTGACACGTATTTACGGAGTGTGAACAACATCTGTACATAATTAAAGTTAAAATCACAGTGCAATTATTAAGATTCCTGGGGTTGTTACACTTCCTCGCCGACGCCGTCCTTTTTGCTCACAATGCGCACGGCTCTCTTCTTCCCTTGCAGCATGACGTCGTTCTCTTTGCATGCGCCCTCGTCGTTCCTATAGTTCCAGTGCTGAATCTGAAACGGAGGATTATCTTCAGAGATTGCCCGGTTAGTTAGTAGTGCACTCACCTCTGATGTACCAAAGAATTGGTACATCAAGTATGTGCTCATTCCAATTGCTGCCGCTATGTTGAAGGTCGTTTGATATGCCGAGATGGTGTGCTAAAATAAAGGCAGTGTCAAGTAATCAACATCCATGGATTCAGGGGAGTTCGGCGTAAGTGGAAAATTAAATGCCCAATTAGCAACAAAAGTATAAATAAATTAAGTGAAAAAAAAACACTAAAATTTACAAGGAAAGTTAATATTAAAATACATTATACTTATTTTTAATGTTCGTGTTTTTTCTCAATGGTTTGGCCTAATAAAAATGTTTTTGCTAAAACAGACAACAGCAAATAAATTCATCGCGCATTTGCATATTTAAATTAATTTCCTGTTAATTTAAAGTTTTTGTTATGCAAATGAGATGTTCTGCAATCAGAATACTAGGAAACGGAAATATAAGTGAGTTTATTAGTTCCATGCACTTTACTCATAAATCGGTTAATTTCGGTAGACATTCAGAAGTCGTCGCACTCACGCGAGTGGCTGTGCTATTCACAAAGCCTCTGGCATTTGATTTATTCCATATGTCGATTCTAATAAAAAAAAGTATGAAGATTTTATTCGAAACATTTTTTTGTCGTGGTAACAGGTGGCGCTGTAATCACAGACTCGCAGAAAAAATGTTTCAAAGAAAATCTGCACATTTTTTTGGGTAGAATCGAGATATGGAATAAAAAATGTGGGTTCTCGTTTGAAATTCCCCCCCCCCCCCAACCCTAAGGGGGGATTCGGGGATTCAATTTTTGGGTCATTCGGTAGAGAACAACAGTATTAGTAACGTTGAGTTATGAAACGGGTGGTCGGGCGGTCTGATTCACCCTGTATAACGCAATGAGTTGCAAAGGAGTTTACTCACAAAAGAGGTCATTCAAAAAAATAGGTATAGATAAAAGTGAGTTCCAAAAAACATTCTGTCAGCAAAGAGAGTAAAGGAGAATTTCAAGAAGCTCTATGAAAAATCAATTTCCAAAAAAGCGTTTTGAAAAGTTCAAGAAAGCACTTTCCAGAGATTCCAGAACGTCGAAAATATGACTTTCAAAATTTCAAAAAAGTTCAAAGAAAGTGAATTCAAACAAAAATTTCGTCAGAGGCGGTGTCTTCAATTTCATAGTTCTGAGGTTTTTGAGGGAATCTAAAGGGGTTTGGTAGAATTTTTGAGGGTTTCTTGTAAAACTAATTCCAACGGGTTTTAAATAAAAGTTAAGAGAGCCCCAAGCGAAATACAGGAACGTTTTATATATTTCAGCAATATATAATAGAATGAGTTACAAAGGAGTTTCATAGCAAAAAAACTCAAAAAATTTCAAAGAAAGTGAATTCCAAAAGAATTACGTCAGATTCATGAAAATTACACGGCAGAAGAGACATTCAAAAAAGCTCTATTGGAACTCAATTTCGAAGGAAAATTTTGAAAAGTTAAAAAAAACAGTTTTAACAAAGAAAGTATCAAAAAAAGCTTCATGAGATTCCAGAACGTCAAAAATATCACATTTTCTCAAACATTTTTCTTCAAACTCCGAGGCAGTATCTTCAATTTCATAGGTTTTTGAGGGAATCTAAAGGGTTTTTGTCGAATGTTTGAGGGTTTCAAGTAAAATTCTAGCGGATTTTAAATAGAGGCTAAGACAAACAAACGAAATCCAGGAAAATTTATATATTTCATAAATATATAATAGAATGAGTTACAAAGGAGTTTCGTCGCAAACTCAAAAAATTTCAAAAAAGTTGTAAGAAAGTGAATTCCAAAAGAATTTTGGGAGATTCGGAGATTTCCAAGGAAACATTTTGAAAAGTTCGACAAAACAGTGACAACAAAGACATTTTCAAAAAAGCTTCATGAAATTCCAGAACGTCAAAAATATCACATTTTTTCAAATACTTTTCTCCAAATCCCGAGTTCTGAGTTCTGAGGTTTTGGTGGGAATCTAAAGAGCTTTTGCAGAATTTGTGAGAGTTTCACGAAAAATTCTAGCGGTTTTTAAATAAAGGTGAAGAGAGCATCAAGCGAAATCCAGGAAAGTTTTATGTATTTCAAAAATATATAATAGCGTTTCATTAAAAAAAAACATAACTGAGTTCCAAAAGAATTTTGTCAGATTCATGAAATTTACAAGGCACAATAAACCTCCAAAAAGCTCTATTGGAACTCAATTAAAAAAAAAACTTTTTGAAAAGTTCAACAAAACAGTTTCAACAAAAAAAATTTCAAAAAAGCTTCTTTAGATTCCAGAATGTCAAAAATATAACATTTTTTCAAATACTTTTCTTGAAATCCCGAGACGGTATCTTAAACTTCATAGTTCTGAAGTTTTTGTGGGAATCAAGGGTTTTTGTCGAATTTTTGAGAATTTCAAGAAACATTCTAGCGGTTTTTAAATCAAGGTGAAGAGAGAACCAAGCGAAATCTATTTTGAAGAAAAGTTCTTGAAAGGCCCAAGAAAACAGGTGCAACTAAGAAAACTTCAAAAGAGTCTCATGAGATTCCAGAACGTCGAAGATATGACACGTTGGCATTTTTTTAAATATGTTTCTTCAAACCACGAGACGGTATCTTCAATTTCATAGTTCTGAGGTTTTTGAGGGAATCTAAAGGGGTTTATCGAATTTTTGAGGGTTTCAAGTGAAACTCTAGCGGGTTTTAAATAAAAGTTACGAGAGCACAAAGCGAAATCCAGGAAAGTTTTATATATTTCAAAAGTATATAATAGAATGAGTGACAAAGGACTTTCATCGCAAAAAACCAAAAAATTTCTAAAAAGTTCAAAGAAAAGTGAATTCCAAAAGAATTACGTCAGATTAATGAAAATTACAAGGCAGAAGAGACATTCAAAAAAGCTCTATTAGAACTCAATTTCCAAGAAAACTTTTTCAAAAGTTCGACAAAACAGTTTCAACAAAAGAATTTCAAAAAAGTTTCATGAGTTTCCAGAACGTAAAAAATATCGCATCAAATACTTTACTTGAAACCCCTAGACGGTATCTTAAATTTCATAGTTCCGAAGTTTTCGTGGGAATCAAGGGTTTTTGTCGAATTTTTGAGAATTTCAAGAAAGCTTGAGCGGGTTTTAAATAAAGGCGAAGAGAGCACCAAGCCAAATCCAGGAAAGTTTTATATATTTCAAAAATATATAATAGAATGAGTTACAAAGGAGTTTCATCGTAAAAAAACTCAAGAATTTCAAAAAAGTTCAAAGAAAGTGAATTCCAAAAGAATTTTTTCACATTAATGAAAATTACAAGGCATATATATTAGACATTCAAAAAAGCTCTATTAGAACTGAATTTCAAAGAAAACGTTTTAAAAAAATTCATCAAAACAGTTTCAACAAAGAAAATTTCAAAAAAGTTTCAGGAGACTCCAGAACGTCAAAAATATCGCATTTTCTCAAATAATTTTCTTGAAATTCCGAGGCGGTATCTTCAATTTCACAGTTCTGAGGTTTATGAGGGAATCTAAAGGGTTTTATTGAATTTTTGGGGGTTTCATGTGAAACTCTAGTGGGTTTTTAATAAAAGTTAAGAAAGTACGAAGCGAAATCCAGGATAGTTTTATATATTTCAAAATTATGTAATTGAATGAGTTATAAAGGAGTTTCATCGCAAAAATCTCAAAAAATTTCAAAAAAGTTCAAAGAAACGTGAATTCCAAAAGAATTTCGTCAGATTCGTGAAATTTACAAGGCAGAAGAGACATTCAAAAAAGATCTATTAGAACTAAATTTCCAAGAAAACTTTTTGAAAAGTTCAACAAAATAGTTTCAACAAAGCAAATTTCAAAAAAATTTCATGAGATTCCGGAACGTCAAAATATCGGATTTTTTCAAATACTTTTCTTGAATCCCCGAGACGGTATCTTAAATTTCATAGCTCTGAAGTTTTTGTGGGAATCAAGGGTTTTTGTCGAATTTTTGAGAATTTCAAGAAACATTCTAGCGGTTTTTAAATAAAGGCGAAGAGAGAACCAAGCGAAATCTAGGAAAGTTTTATATATTTCAAAAATATATAATAGAATCAGTTACAGAGGAGTTTCATTGCAAAAAAATCAAAAAATTTCAAAAAAGCTCAAAGAAAGTGAATTCCAAAAGAATTTGGTCAGATTCATGATAATTACAAGGCAGAAGAAACATTCAAAAAAACTTTATTAAAATTCAATTTCCAAGAAAACTTTTTGAAAAATTCAACAAAACAGTTTCAACAAAAAAAATTTCAAAAAAGTTTCATGAGATTCCAGAAAGTCAAAAATATCGGAATTTTCAAATACTTTTCTTCAAGCCCCGAGACGGTATCTTCGATTTCATAGTTCTGAGGTTTTTGAGGGAATCTATAGGATTTTGGTCGAATTTTTGAGAATTTCAGAAAACATTCTAGCGGTTTTTAAATAAAGGCGAAGAGAGCACCAAGCGAAATCCAGGAAAGTTTTATGTATTTCAAAAATTTATAATAGAATAAGTTATAAAGGAGTTTCAACTCAAAAATTTCAAAAAAGTTCAAAGAAGGTGAATTCAAAAAGAATTTCGTCACATTCATGAAAATTACAAGACAGAAGAGACATTCAATTGGAACTCAATTTCCAAGAAAACTTTTTAAAAAATTTAACAAAACAGTTTCAACAAAGAAAATTTCAAAAAAGTTTCATGAGACTCCAGAACGTAAAAAATATCGCATTATTTGAAATACTTTTCTTCAAACCCCGAGACGATTTCTTCAATTTCACAGTTCTGAAGTTTTTTAGGGAATCTAAAGGGTTTTGTTGAATTTTTGGGGGTTTCATGTGAAACTCTAGTGGTTTTTAAATAAAAGTTAAGAGAGTAAGAAGCGAAATCTAGGAAAATTTTATATATTTCAAAACTATATAATAGAATGAATTGCAAAGGAGTTTCATCGCAAAAAAACTCAAAAAATTTCAAAAAAGTTCAAAGAAAGTGAATTCCAAAAGAATTACGTCAGATTAATGAAAATTACACGGCAGAAGAGACATTTAAAAAAGCTCTATTAGAACTCAATTTCCAAGAAAACGTTTTAAAAAATTCAACAAAACAGTTTCAACAAAGAAAATTTCAAAAAAGTTTCATGAGACTCCAGAACGTCAAAAATATCGCATTTTCTCAAATAATTTTCTTGAAATTCCGAGGCGGTATCTTCAATTTCATAGTTCTGGAGGTTTTTGAGGGAATCTAAAGGGTTTTGGTCGAATTTTTGAGAGTTTCAAGTGGAACTCTAGCGGGTTTTAAATAAGAGTTAAGAGAGCACAAAGCGAAATCCAGGAAAGATTTATATATTTCAAAAATATATAATAGAATGAGTTACAGAGGAGTTTCATCGCAAAAAACTTAAAAATTTCAAAATAGTTCAAAGAAAGTGAATTCCAAATGAATTACGTCAGATTAATGAAAATTAGACGGCAGAAAAGACATTCAAAAAAGCTCTATTAGAACTCAATTTCCAAGAAAACTTTTTGAAAAGTTGAACAAAACCGTTTCAACAAAGAAAAATTCCAAAAGGTTTCATCAGATTCCAGAACCGCAAAATTATGCCATTTTTTCAAATAGGTACTTTTCTTAAAACCTCGAGACGGTTTCTTTCATTTCATAGTTTTGAGGTTTTTGAGGGAATCTAAAGGGTTTTGGTCGAATTTTTGAGAATTTCAAGAAAAATTCTAGCGGTTTTTAAATAAAGACGAAGAGAGCACCAAGCGAAATCCAGGAAAGTTTCAAAAATACATAATAGAATGAGTTACAAAGGAGTTTCAAAAACAAAAAAATTCAAAAAAGTTCAAAGAAAGTGAATTCCAAAAAAATTTCGTCAGATTTATGATAATTACAAGCAGAAGAGACATTCAAAAAAGATCTATTGGAAATCAATTTCCAAGAAAACTTCTTGAAAAATTGAACAAAATACTTTCAACAAAGAAAATTTCAAAAAAAGTTTCATGAGATTCCAGAACCTTAAAAATATCGCATTTTTTCAAATACTCTTCTTCAAACCCTGCGGCGGTTTCTTCAATTTCATAGTTTTGGTGGGAATCTAAAGGGTTTTTGTCGAATTTTTGAGAATTTCAAGAAAAATTCTAGCGGGTTTTAAATAAAAGTCAAGATATTTCAAAGAAACAGATAAAAGTGAGTTCCAAAAGAATTTCGTCAGTTTCAAGAGGCAGAAATTCAAGAAATCTCTGTTAAGACTTTCTGTTTTGTGGACGATCTTTTGTATTTAAAACTCATTAATCGGAAGTTCTGACATTTTTCGCGAAAGGTTCAAAAGAATTCAAGAAAATTGTAAGTGAATTTCAGTTTTATCAATTTTAAAAAAATACGTACGTCATAGATATTATTAATATCATAACAACAGACTGCCAACCTTATGTATTTCATGGTTAACACATCTAGGTATGCTTGAAAACGCCCTCTATTGAGCAACAGTACAAACATATACCGTTGTAAAATGACGCTTACGGATTTATGCATTAGATGTCGCTGCAAAAATTTAAAGCGCTAACGTTTGCACAATTTGAATTGCTTAAATGAACAACGGAGCTACTCATTCACTTCAAATGTGGCGACAATAGAGTTTCGAATCTTTGATTGGTTATTGAGATCGGCGGCCATGTTGCATCGAGTTTCTGGTACATGTATATGGTTATTGTGTAACTGTATACCTAAATATACAATTAGGAAAGTATTATGAGAATCTAGTACAATATGTTTCTGTTTTTTGATTTCTTGAAAACATGTTCTTTAATTTTTTCATTTGAAACATGGGAATAAAAACTTACCCCGTTGCGTGTGATGTACCCTGCAACTAACGGACTGAATACACCAGCGATCATGTAGACGGTTTGGCAGTAGCCGACCACAACTCCGCTAAAGTTCGGTGCCACATCTACAATGCTAGCCATCGCTCCCGAAAACTGAGCAGAAAGTAAATTGATGGCGAGGAAATACAAACACAAAATGACAGCGATGTTGCAGCCGATGTACCCCATTAAAATACAAAGTAAACCGGCACCGATCTGCCCGATGAACGTAAACAGCTTTCTGGTCGTCGTCTTCGTTAGCAGTTTACGATTCATTATCTGATCGGCCAGGTAACCGAAGAGAACCGTCGAAAAGTAGCAGGATATGAACGGCGCTCCCGAGAGTAAACCGTTCTAAAAGAAGATTATTAGGCTGAGAACCTGGCGGGGTGAGCAAACCTGTTCGACACTAAACCCGAGGATGTGCTTCAAGTACTGAGGACCGTAGATGGTGAACGTGTAGAGGATCCAAACGCGACCGAAGCACGTGATCGAAATCGCCCACATGGGGAGCGAACGCAGCATCGAAGTCCACGGCACCTTCTGCTTCTTTCGGCTGGCGTAACAGCTGTCCGTATTTTTTCGAATGTAGTCCTGCTCTTCGCGCGATATCCTCGGATGCTTCTCGGGACTGTCGAACACCAAAAAGTACCACATCAGGCACCAGATCAAACCTATGCTGCCCGAGGTGTAGAAGACGGCCGGCCAGCCGAAGTTCGCGATCAGAAATCCGCAAAGCGCGTACGATATTCCCGTGCCGAAGTTCGAACCCTGGAAACTGGAGAGGAATCGGCTGCGCTCCTGCGTCGGTATCCAAACGCCGACGATCGAGTACATCGCCGGCCACACGAACCCCTTAAACGCCACTTGAGCACTGCGGGTTTTCGCATGGGTTTATACTTACGCTAGCGAAACCCTGCACCGATCTGATGGCTATCACGCAACCGAAGTGGGTCTCGGCCGCGACCGGCAGTAGGAAGCTGCACAGGGCGCACGTCAGCTGGACGAAGCCGAAGACTCGCTTCGTGCCGAAGCGCTGCGTCACCGCACCTCCGACTATGTGAGCGCACACGTACATCCAGTAGAACGACGCGATGATGTAACTCTGCGCGTCCGAGGACCACTCCAGCGTTCCACCGTAATCCTAAAATGCTACCTTGCTATATTTTAAAAGGGGCACTGCGAACTATTAAGGGACTTTATTGTCTAATTATCATCGGAGAAATCCGCAACCAGTATTTGGGACCTAGTATAATAAATTGAACACCTTCCATCTGTTAATGGTCATCAAAAAATGCAGCGTGTTGTTTTTCCTTTGCTTGCATTTTATTTGTAAATTGAATTTGATTGAACAGTAAGAGATCATGATCATATAACTGTATAGTATAGAAGCACAGCACACAACGAATGTAATTTCAATTTAAAATTAAAAATTTAGTCCAATCATAAAAATTGACCCAAATTAAAAGTATAAGATATCAGACGTTTAACGCTCTGGATCTGAAATTAGGCTACTCTCATCGCGTTTTTCACACCTGGCGGAGCGAGCTACCAAGTAATGCCCTTTGTTCTCAAAAATGCACCGGCAACTTCTGCGTTTATAGGTCACAGGTAATCAAGGTTTTCTTTATTGTAAAACGGTTTTTTCTTACATAGTTTTCAGTGTTTTCTTTATCCACTCCGAAGGAGAAACTTTTTATCAGCGTTACAGGTTTTCTATTTTTTGGTAGTTATTACTCGAAATTTATGACTTGGCTCTATGATTCACTCTGGTAACTCCTCCCTTGATAATGTTTACTATAATTTGAGCTGCACGGTTAACTCTCCGTAGCCCGAAACCGAATTACTTCAAAAATCTCCCCGGAATTATCCCTACCTATTCTTTGTTAATTAATTAAGGCCTTTTTCAAATTTGCGTCTAGTAATTAAGTGAATCGCGGTAACCTCTGAAAGGTCCGAGATTTATGCTGCTCCCCAAGAAACCCATTCACTGAAATTCTGCCGAATTACTTTCTTATAAACGTAGGCGATCACGTCAGAACTCCGCCCAGCTATTCCTTTCGCACACCTTCAATAAGGTAGAATTGCTATCTCCGACACTGAAGCCAACGATTTCCGGAAGCTATTAAAATGTCAATACGCTATAGCATCTAAATGCGTAGAAAGAAAGTACGTAACATTAAATTGTCTAAACGTGTCACAGATGCGCAATCTTTTATGTTTTTTTATAAAGGCTGATTCACGTTACATATGGTTCGCCTTTTAATTAATTGTGCGGGTCAGATAATGCGAAATTATTGCATTGAATTAATTTGATCAGATATTTTAGTTGATAGTCAAAATATGAAAATAAACTCATGCAGTTTTTAGACAACATGCTTTCAAAAAAAATATCGGTAATTTTGATGCACTTGTGCAATTACCTACGAAAATCGTGCGCCTTAACCTCAAATATAGCGCAATGAAATATTTTGTACGTTGAACCTCAACGCTTTCGTGGTAAAGATTTATTTAAATCCGAGCAATTCACACTGAATGCATAAAGTACCTGCAACAATAAATTCGTCGAATAATGTGGCACAATTTTTGGTTGCGCCGCTAACGATTCATTTACGCGATCTAAAAAATGGCGTACGCCACTCACGTGACTCGCCTTGAAACCTTGGTGTAAAATTTCGTTTTACGCGATCTAAAAATTTCCGCACTTACGTTACGTAGGCTTGCCTCGAAAGTCTGGGCTAAGGATTCTATACGCAATGGAAAATGCAGCACTCGATCTGCATAGGTTCGCTTCAAAATTTTTACTTGACGAAGCGACCCCAACGCAACCGAAGCAGAAACACTGTCCCTCATTCCCCATCACGACGGTTTTTATATTCGGCAACACTGTAGGGTTTCGACTCTTATCTGCCTGAACACTCGTTTCTTATCTTAACGCGCTTTATTTTTTCGAAAAGTAGTTCTGTTCTCAGTGATTATGAAGCGGTACACTTCTAAAATTTCCTATACCGGAAAATTTGTAAATTTGACCCAAAAAAATCTTTAAAGCCTCAGCGACTACGACCGTGACATAGCTCTCCTTTTGTCTCTTTACGTTCTTCATGACAAAAAAGTGCCTTTAAGCCTTTATCCCGGCTCCAATTGGCAAAAACAAAACGAATGGCGACGATCCATCGAGCGGAATATTTTTAGAGGCGGCAACAAATTTGGGAAATGATTCTACAGAAAGTAACCTCTAAAGAAATTGAAGTGGGAATGTTACGCATACTCTTACCAACTTAAAAGTAATCATGAAATATGGTGTAACATAACCTCACGTTTTGACGAAATTATGTGAACTTTGTATTAAGATTGTAGAATATTTAAGGCTTCTTCCGCAATTTTTTTTGTTGAAAACGCTTAATTAAGGCCGTTTTTATTAATTTCATGATCCTGGGGGGGCTTAATAACGCCACATAACCATTAGATTCTCTGAAGCTATTCAGTGGTTTTTAGATATTTGTAAATTGAATTTCATTGTTTAAACTGTAAAAAAAAACTTTAAATACGATATTAGAAATTGATGGCTTATATTATTTAAATAAAAAATGAGGTATAATTAACTTTATTATCTAATTACAAGATCACAATCTATCATTCAAATTGTAGCACACTCGTTCAAATTTACATCTCGCCGGCATTCCCTTACGTCGATTATTATTTAAAACCGCCTTAATTTTAGCGTAGCTACACTGATACAGTAACAGAAGCTTATTCAAAGTGTGTCAAAGAATGACGTACTCCTACTTTTTGTTGTGTAATTGCACTGTTCACAATTAAAGACTTTGGAAATATTATCCGTTAGACGACGATTTCTAAAATTATCCTTATCATTGGTTGCATAATTGCACTGGTCACATTTAAAATTCTTGAAAGTAACGTGATAAAGTGAACATTTTAAACTACCCTTGCTCTTTAAGGTTGTATTTACATTGATTGCAAATAAAATTTTTGCAAAGCAAAACTACAATATTGATTATTTTTGGCCATTGTAAAAAAAAAACAAAATGGCACTCTGATCCCACCAATAATAATTGCAATATACTCCGAATTATTGGAGTATTCCTCCACATCAGCAATTAATTAAATATTGAAATTTATACAATTTTTTACAATTTTAGATGAGGTAAATAGGAATATTTTAATAAATTTGGAGCGCAAATAGAAAAATAAATCTTTAATGTAGGTAAGTATTAAAGTTAAAACATGGGAATAAATCGGAATTTTCAATTGCTGCTTACTTTTATCATTGAATAAGTGTGTTTATTCAGTGCTTTTATGTAAGACAGAATTCTCACGGCCGGTAATTGTACCTACATGCAATGATTTTGAAACAATGACAATAGTCGGAAATCGTGGTTTTTTTGAACTACTTTATCGTTTCTGTTCATGAGAATTTTGCATCTAATTTACAAGATTTTGTAAATTTAGAGACCCCTCGCCCCTTTCCCCGCGCAGACACACAGTTCTTAATAAATATTCCAACAAACATGTGATTTTATAAAGGATTTTACAGAAAATATTAACAATACTTAGATGTTTTCACTAGAATTCTAAACATAATATAATATACAGGGTGTAACAAGTAAATTTACCAAAAGAATCCAAATAAACTGAAAGTCCAAAATGTTTGGTTTGGGCCACCAAAATTTCCAAAATCTTCCATATTTTTTCACTCATAGGAATTTTGGAGGAAATCGCTTCTAATACAAAAAGTTACAGCCATTGGACTATTTAACATAATAGTATCCGCCATTTTGTTCCAATAGGCGGAATTGGCTGATTCACGAACTTGACCGATATATTTATTTATGACTTACGCCAACCCAAATAAATGTTGGAGGAAATCGCTTCATAATACGAAAAGCCATTGAACTATTTAACATATCAAAGTGTCCGCCATTTTGTTCCAATATGGAATGGAATTGGTTGATCCGCGAACTTGACCGATATATTTATTTATGAGTTGACCCTTAAATTTTGGAGGAAATCGCTTCATAATTGAGTTCTAGTAACACTATAAAATATTACGGTGTTGCCATGTGTGGGGTGATGGACCGTGATTGAACTAGAAGGGTTGGTCGATAGCCCCCTACGGCAGCGAATGTCGAAGGACCCCTAAGGAGTACAGCCTAAATAAACCAGCAACAACAATAACAAATGCGGGTAGGTAATATCAGAAAAAAAATGTTAAAATTTGCAAATTAAACGAGCGACCTTTTTAGTATCAAAAAGTTCGCTCGTTTCATTTGCAAGTTTTCACATTTTTTTCTGACTACCTAGCCGAACGCTTTCTTTACAAGTTCTTATATCATTTCATTATGAACAAGTAATGAGGCATGCTAGAAACGTACATTTTTCGCCTTTATTGCTTTAGTCTCATAAGCAAGTTCTGTTTATGCTCCACGTCATAAATTATTATAGTTTATGTGATCAATATTGTAAGCTCTAACTCTGTTTTGTTAAAAACAACTGCTTTATATGGACATGCCTAATTAGTTGATCTTAAGGAAAGGATATAACAACTTGTAAAGAAAGCATTCGGGTAGGTAGTCAGAAAAAAAGTGAAAACTTCCAAATTAAACGAGCGACCATTTTAGTAAATTGGAAATTTCAGACTAGGATTTTTGAGATTTTAGAAGTCTTAAAACGTTGACAATTTTCGATATATTGGGAATATGGAGATTTTTATATTTTGTGAATTTGATGTTTTTGAAATTTCGGGAATGAGAAGACTGGAATTTCAAATTTTGGGATTTTTAAAATTTTAGAATTTTAATTTATGTGAATCTTAAAAGTATAGGACCTTTGAAATTTCGGGAATTTGAGATTTTTAATTTTCTTAATGTTTGGAATATTTGTGATGTATATATTGGGAATTCTAGATTATTCTAGCATTTTTGAAAATTTTAGATTTTGAACTTTATAAATTTGGGATTTTTGAAATTTGTGGGATTAAATTGTATGGATTTTTGAAAGTAACGAAATTACACATTTTGGGGTATTGGGATAATGGATTTCTGAAATTTTGGGTCTATGAGATTTTAGGAATTCGAGATTTTGAATTTTTGAAATTTCGGGAATTAGGTTTTGGGATTGCTTATAAAGTAAGGGAATTTGAAATTTTGGACTTGAGGTCTTGTGATTTTGGGAATCTAGAGGTTTCAGAAATATATTTTGAAATTTGAGATTTTGGGATTTTTTAAGTGTTGGGAATATAAGATTTTAGAAATTTGGGATTTTTGAAATTTAAATTTGGGTTTTGGGATTATTTCAAGTAAGGGAATTTGAAATTTTGGGTTTACGACGTCTCCTGAATTTTGAAGTTTTGGGTATTTGAGATTTTGGGATATTTGAGAATGGAGATTTTGGGGTATTTGAGAATTTTAGATTTTGGGATTTTTTAAGTATTGAGAATTTGATTTTTAGTGCATTTTAAACTTTAGGGCCTTTGAAATTTCGGGAATTTGAGATTTTTAGATCTTTTTAACATTATTTTGAAATTTTTAGAATGTTGGAAATTTTAGACAAGGACTTTTGAGATTTTAGAATTCTCAAAATTTTAACAATTTCAGATGTTTAGAAAGTTCAAAAATTTGAGATTTAAGATTTTCGATATATGCGGAAGTCTAGATTTTGGGCTTTAAACAAATTTTTAAATGTTGGTATTTGAAATGCGAATTTGAGATTACTGAAATTAGATTTAGGGATTTTTGAAAATTTTGAGTATGTGAGATTTTAGGAATTTGAGATTAGCGATTTTAGAAATTTCGAGAATAGATTTTGGGATTGTTTAACGTAGGGGAATTTGAGTCTTAATCTTTTTAATGTTTGGAATTTTTGTGTGGAAATTTCAGTCTTTTAAGATTTTTGGAATTTCAGAATTCTGAAAACTTTCATAATTTGAGATTCTTGAAGTTTTGCAAATTTGTGGTTATAGGATTATCGATAATAATTTTGAATTCTAGATTATTCCAGCAGTTTTGAAAATTTTAGATTTTGAAATTTTGTAAATTTGGGATTTTTTAAATTTGCGGGAATAAGTTGTATGGATCTTTGAAAGTAACGAAATTACAAATTTTGGGGTATTGGGATAATGGATTTCTGAAATTTTGGGTCTATGAGATTTTAGGAATTCGAGATTTTGAATTTTTGACATTTCGGGAATTAGGTTTTGGGATTGTTTATAAAGTAAAGGAATTTGAAAGTTTGGGCTTGAGGTCTTGTGGTTTTAGGAATTTAGGATTTAGAGGTTTCAGAATTATATTTTGGAATTTGAGATTTTGTGATTTTTACATTTTGGGTATATAAGATTTTAGGAATTTTAGATTTTTGAAATTTAGAGCTGGTTTTTGGGATTGTTTAAAGTAGAAGAATTTGAAATTTTGGGCTTACGACGTCTGAATTTTGAAGTTTTGGGTATTTGAGATTTTGAAATTTGAGAATGGAGATTTTGGGATATTTGAGAATTTGAGATTTTGGGAATTTTTAAGTATTAAGAATTTGATTTTTAGTGCATTTTAAACTTTGGGACCTTTGAAAATTTCTGGAATTTGAGATTTTTAGCTCTTTTTAACATTCGAAATTTTTAAAATTACATTTTGGAATTTGAGATTTTGGGATTTTTTAAATTTTCGGTATATAAGATGTTAGCAATTTGGGATTTTTGAAATTTAGAGTTGAATTTTGGGATGGATGGGCTTACGACGAAGTTTTGGTTATTTGAGATTTTGGGATATTTGAGAATGGAGATTTTGGGATATTTGAGAATTTGAGATTTTGGAATTTGATTTTTGGTGCGTTTTAAACTTTAGGGCCTTTGAAATATCGGGAATTTTAGATTGTTAGATCTTTTTAACATTTGAAATTTTTAGAATGTTGGAAATTTTAGACAAGGACTTTTGCGATTTTAGAATTCTCGAAAGTTTAACAATTTCAGATGTTTATATAGAAAGTTCGAAAATTTGAGATTTAATACGTTCGATATATGCGCAAGTCTAGATTTTGGGAGTTTTGAAATTTTTTAAATGTTGGTATTTAAAATAATATGAGATTGCTGGGATTAGATTTAGGGATTTTTGAAAATTTTGAGTATGTGAGATTTTAGGAATTTGAGATTCGCGATTTTAGAAATTTCGAGAATTAGATTTTGGGATTGTTTAAAGTAGGGGAATTTGAAACTTTGGGCGTACGAGATTTGTGATTTTTGAAATTTTGGGATTTTTGAGAATTTTTGGGAAAGTTAGTATCTTTGAAATCGGAGGTTTTAGATTTATATTAAATATGTATAAAAAGCACATGTCCATGTCCACGAACATCCGTGGGATGTCCATTCTACAAAATATCTTTGAAATAGGTATGTTGATTAGAAGCGATCTTCCTTTACCAGAAGAACCTTACCTTGAAGTGGCAGCCTTTCAAAAACTAAGCGAATTTCGCAATGTTAACATTGAATCTTGACACTAATTCAACCGTGCATTTACTGAATAATTAACCCATCAACTATTCAGGTTGGTCACCAGAATGACCGTAAACGTAGGTACGTTTACGAATTCATTATGAGACTTCAATGCCGCGTAAGAAATGCATAAAATTAAAAGTCAATGAATCCATTCAGGTTTGCAAAGAGCTCAGGGGCTTTTGAATCAGGATTCCATCCGATACCTTTTACTTGCACTTGATGACGATTGTTTACTAAATTCAGCCCACCCTCCTGCTCGCTCCGCTTGCGCTGACCAAAACAGTGCGAGGAGGAGGCGAACCTGGTTTTGCTTTATCTGGCTAAGATGCGACTTTTAGGGAAGTTACACGGCCTTGAACTTTTAAAAATCTCAAATACTGTTTGCGAATCGCTCTCTTTTCTACAAGAAGACTCACCAATACTGTCTCCGATTCGGTAACGTTTGGGTCTATCGTGTAGCAGAAACTTTCCTCAGTCTTATTCTGCACGGCCTGGACCTTGCGATCCTTCACCATCGCCAGGATGGTCAAATTAATGTCACTTCGTATAATGAACGAAACCATAAACCCCGACCAGGATAGCAAGTACAAAACGAGGCGCGCGGGAATTTTATCTGCAAACCGGGAGTAGCGGGAGCGTGCGTTAAAAGCGAAAAGGAAAAAAACTCACCCCTCAGCCTGTGCAGAAAGTGCCTGTTCGCCGCCGGTATCGTCATTTCGCTGTTGTAAATTTGATTCTCGACCATTTTCATTACTCTAAGTAGAAAATTTGCGCTTTCAATTTCGATGAACTAATGTGTGCACATTCTAAATTGCGTAATGCGCCGCTAAGTGCCAATATAGGAAGGTATTTGATTGGAATAAGCTGGCGTTCGTTTTAATATTTATGCACATAAAAGAAAAGGTGAAAACGAGTTTCGCAAAGTTGTTGCCGCACTCTTTTCAATATTCAGCACGCTCGACTTACCTACGTTTCAAATTTTCAATGTTTGTTTACCGCAACCGCACTTGACACTGAAACCACTCGATGATGAATCCAAACACACACAAACAGTTCGCGGATTATGTATACAGATAGAGATCAAAAGTAAAATAAACCTTAAAACGAGTTCTACGAATTTTAAACGCTTTTCCCGCCTCGGAAATTTCTATTTTCGGTAACTCGCGCGCGCAGGGGGTTGTCGCTCCGCTCTCGCCCCCTTTACCTGACCCGCGGATCACGACGTCAAACGGAGACACTTACGACTGCGATGTAAACAAAAGAAAGGAAAAAAGTGCGTTTTCGAATAGTTCGGTGAGCAGAAGAAGGTGCAATGACCCGAAAAATGCATAGTGAAGGATTCGGACAAAGAGGAGAGCTTAAGGCGATAGTTTTTAATTAGTCAGGCTCCGGCTGGCTTTGATCCTTTCTTTTCGGACATAAGTGGCCTAGATTAAGGGGGAGAAACGTTTCGTGCAGGTGTTTTACGTTACCATGCTGTCGTTGGGATTCCGCAAACGCTCAGTTTTTGTGATGCCGAAGATTTACTGAACGATAGGCAACCAATGGTACACGATTGTAGCTGACTTCAATCGCCGATGAACCTCGACCATAAATAGGATAAACTGACATTGCTAATTTTCGCTCAGGAGATGCTGTCATCTGCTTTTTAAAGGGGCGTAACTAACCGTAAAAATAGAAAATCGTACGTTCATTAGCGTGCCGATATGTGGTCCCCTCGTTCTGAGATGGCGCTATAGTTAGTGGAGGAGCGCCTAGTTACGAAATGCGTTCTCGTAAATCTAGTTTAGAAAAACGTACGTAGTTCCTTCACTCTCACACTTTAGACTCTTTAGAGTTTCATTATAATTTTTCTCTATGTTTTAAGACATAAATCTTAGACTATGAAAGAGAGGGGACCCGTAATAGAGAGCGCGCGCGTGAAGCAAATTGCGATCATACTGCCACCACCAGTGGCGCCCGCTCGGGTATTACATTAGGAAATTACAATTTATTTATACTGCCATCATGGTATGATTAACCTGTGCGTACAGTTGTCGGACATAATATTAGGTTCTTATCTGAATAGAGAGACTAAAAACGCGATAAACGTAAACATACGACTGGACTTTGATCGTTTCAGAAACTGGGTTCGCGATATAAGCGCAATATTATTGAAAGTAAAGGGTTTTTCCAAGGGTTTTTCATTAAGAGCGCTCGAACTTTGAAATGAAATAAAACAACCTGTTTAAGTGATATTACCACAAGTTTTATAATATTTTAAATGATATTCGAAGACATTATTTATGAAAAATAATTTCAGTGAAATGGCCCCCGCGACTCCGCTGTGGACGTTGCATTGTGGTGGACCAATTTTGGACATGTTCGCTTAAACTGGGCTGAATTTCACGAAGAAAGCGAGTTATACTGGTATTTAGGGCAGCAATTGACTGTGGTTGGTCTGCATAGACTAGGGAACTAAAAATCCAAGTCTCGGCGCAAAATCCCCCAAGTTAACGTCCCAGAAAGACCCATCTCTTGCGCACTCTGCAGAATGGGCTGCCTGGGGTTTTCTCGCACACTATTCCGAACGGCAATAATATTCTCCAACGATCTTGCGTTTCTTTGACGTACAGGAACTGCTTCATCAATCACTGACCCCGTTGTCTTAAATTTTTTATTAAACAACGGATTGTGGATTCTGCAGGATGTCCATGAAAGCCATAAATTGGACGCACCGCACGGAACGTTAGGCGAACGGAGCCCTGATTTCGATAATCAATTGTAACCATTTCTACGCAGCGTTTTAAAAATACTAATACACAACCTCACTCTTTCGTACATTAATTTGTCATTCCTGACCACTACTTATAACATCGTTAAAAAATGTTGTATTCATTTCACTTCATAAATGACGCTCGAAGATGACCAGTTAGGTCGAAATCGTTAGCCGCATAAGACAAATACAAAACGTGTCTAAAAAGAATTTCTTTAAACCCCTTTCTCAGTTCCTTGTACTTAAGTAATAAGCTGTTGATACTATAGCAAACCGTTGACGATGACGACTGTGATAATATTGAATTCGAGATGTCTTCTCCCCTAACGGGTTTAATCATAACGATCTTCCTTCAGGATATCTTGTGTTTATCGAATGTGGCGGCGATCGATGTGTATTGCTTCGAACATCGATCGATGACCTCTCTCTTTTGAAGACCAAATCCTATCTGTCGTACCACATGTAAGTACAAAGGCAACATACACTGTAGTTAAACTACTCCATACAAAGTAATCAGTCGCCTAAGGGTTAGGCATCCAAACATGTACATATCTGTTACGTCATGTAACTAGATAGTCACGCCGTCACTGGAATATCGCTTGCAGGTTATATCACTTGCTTACTGTAATTGAGAAATTATCAATGAAAAGAAGTATAAAGCAGTATTTTATTGATGCACAAAAATATAGGACAATTGTAAGATTATGAAAATGAAGACCTTAAAAGTGTTTTATTAACTACCATAAAGATTTAATTAAATTTAGCCAAACCAGACAACGTGCCGTTTTTTATCTTGCCTATGAAATGATATTCCTGCTGGAAAACGACCACTGCAACTTTTACAGTTGTACGCAGAACAATTTACCACGTTTATATCACACACTTTTGCACACGCAAACTTTATCAATAATGAAGAAATGTCAAAAAATTCACACTGCCACCGCGCTTTGAGTGCCACCGAAAATATGGCGGTCGTCTCGAAATTCGCGTCAAATTCACGCATGCCGTGGATCACAGAGTTGTATATAAGTAAATAGAGAGACAGTCTTGTAGCGAAAAATTGACTCCAATTGAACCTTGCGCAGGCCGTTGGTGAGTGTGCGCAGTAATCGACAACAGAACCGGCTTCAAATTAAATGATCCTTAAAGCAGGTTCGGCTTGAGAATAATATGGTTTCTCATTGCAACAAAAATTGAAAAGAAATTCAATGTGTGGTGAATGATGTTGTTAACACTGTGTCTTGAATAAATAAGAAACATTACAATCGTTAAGAACTTATAATACAGTGGACTACAATGCAAAGCTGGTCAGGGGCTTACAACATCAGAATCGAGAAAAGATTTTTTGAGATTCTGGTATAAAGGAAATCGTATATTTGTCGTGCGATCGAGTTTAAAGATCTATTTATGCACTCAGTGAGTATAAAAATAAGCAATGAAAGAATAAAATAAGTTGAAATTTTATTTTGGTGCGGGACAAAATTTCAGGTGTGCAATGCCGAAAACACAGTTTGAATACGGGTAGCCACAAAGTCGACAAACTCAAATGCCAATAACTCAAATATCTCAAAAATGGAGCATCGGCAGAGGGTATGTACAGTGGCACCACGCTCAGAAGGTTCCTGACAGGGCGTGTCCGAGGACGTTGGAAATTTAGACTTTACATTCTCATGCAAAATTTGACTCTACTAAATATAAATAAGTGGGCCACGCGATATGAGTTGCATTACTTCAAGGGGAAACAGTAAAATTAATAATTTTATTTCTACAAAACGTAAACACATTTAAGATTGTTAGATGTTCATGTTCAACACAATTTACAATTCTGATGCACTTCTGCTGTGTAAATAAATATGGACAGTTATTGAAACAATCACATTGAAATTAATAACACTCACATTGACTAAATTAACACACAACTTTTAACTTTTTTTCATTCATTATCGTCACTTGACCACTAATCATCATCGGAACTGCCGGTGTTCACAATAAATTGTACATTGTCAATAAATTCATTTCTCGTAGGAATGTTATTTGCTTCTAACCAAGAACGTATCACTTCCTTACGATTATTCATTGTTGGTGGCTTATTTATTTGAACACTAATAAGGTACATTTGGTATAAGCTGCTTCTCTAACCACTGCATAAAGTTGGTATGATTCATATCATCGTAATAATCCCCCAATTTACTGTGCGACATCCTCTACAAAACTAGAAGGACTACCAGCATACTACGATGTACATCTGACCAGCCCTATTATAAACTTCCGATACTTCATCTGATTGTTAGCATTTACTCACTCCGTACGATGGGTGAATATAGGTTTCGTCCAAGTATATAACGGGTTTCTTGTCACATTCAGGATTCAGGTTGTTCATTTTCTTTTAATCTTCTTAAATAACGAGATGCCATACTACAATGTCACTTCTTTCCATTACCAACCTACGTTTGTCCCGACACTTTCTTGTATCGAAAACCAAGTTTCAACAATTGCTTGGAAGAGTTTTCCTTCCACCCATATATTTGATCTTTTCTTGCACTTTTCTAGGAGCATTTTAAAATATCCTTTATTTATGTACAGATCGTCGCCTACTAAACATTGAAATGGCGGTAAAGAGTATAATGTAATGAGCATGCTTAAATTATTGCTCCAAAGCGTCTGTTTATTAGCTGAAGCATCTGAAAAGTTAGTGGTGTTTTGTTTTGTGATTATGTAACTGAATGCACCCAAAAATCGTGCAGATTCCCTTTCACGCACTGCGCATGAGTCCCAACGGCTCCGCCATTAAAAGCATATATATAAGAGAAGTATATGGATAACCGCCTATGATTGCAATGTGCAAATTGTTCGCCATAAAAGAGAGCTGCCCTATTCCTTAGTCCTGAACTCTGTATTTATGCGCAAACTCCCCAAGTAAATATTTACTTCTCTCCGCCTACTTTTAAGTAGCGCCAATTTCAAATTTCATAACCTATAACTCGAAAATAGGGTTAAAATTTTATTAAACCATTATTGTGTGCAATTACCATATGTAAACACAACCACGCACCATTCGGAAACTTCACCCAGACTTCTATTCGCTTCATGCAGGTTCATATTCACCACATTGGCCCCATTCCACCTGCCGACTCCTATCACTATTGTCTGATCCTGTGATGTCTTTAGATAAGTATACTAGCTGGCCGAGGCCCACCCTCCCAAGACCAATCGCCGCCGAAGCGTTTCTTACCTGTTGACTATATCGCTTCGATTCCCCTACTAGCATCTTCACCGATCAGCGACGACAATTTGAATCTTCCCTTTTTTGTGCCCTCAACATTGTTTTCGGCACACAAGGATTCGGGACCTGCAGTCAATGGCCTACTTGAATGATTTCACTGCCAACTCAAATCAGCGCTCACGTGCCACCCAGTGCGTTCTGGTTCAAGGTACTCCGTATCGTTCTGCTTGGAAACTGTAGCATTTTCACGGAGAACTTTCGAGCTTCCTCAGCGGAGTTTGTTTACGGTTACACCCTTCAACTTC